TACTCCAACCACTATACTCCAACCACTATACTCCAACACTTCTTCGATTAAAGGTTTAAGGGCACTGCTATCAATCTAATAAAAATAAATGAAAAATCAGTTTAAAATTTAGTTTCATAATTTGAATAAAGTGAGATTGAGTTAAGGATTAGGTAACTTGATAAACCGAGACTAACGTTTAGAACAGATCCTTACCGACAGATTTATAGGAGATTAGATCTTTTATCAGATTATTCAATTAAACAAATACAAGGGCTCATAGATCAATAGATGAATATGTCAATATTTGAATAGATGAATAGATGAATATATGAATAGATGAATATATTAGTAGATGAATATATGAATAGATGAATAGGTGAATAGATGAATATATGAATAGATGAATATATGAATAGATGAATATATGAATAGATGAATAGGTGAATAGATGAATATATGAATAGATGAATATATGAATAGATGAATATATGAATAGATGAATATATGAATAGATGAACATATGAATAGATAGATAGATGAATACATAAATAGATAAAAAGATGAAGGGATGAATAGATGAATAGATGGAAAGATGAAAGATAAATAGATGAATAGATAAATAGATAAATAGATGAATCTAATATTATATGAATAGATGAATAGATTAATATATGGATTAATGAATAGATGAATCGATGAAAAGACGAATAGTTGAATAGACTAATAGGTGATTAGATGATTAGATGAATAGATGAATAGTTGAATAGACTAATAGGTGATTAGATGAATAGATTAATAGATGAATAGACAAAAGGTGATTAGATGAATAGATGAATAGACAAAAGGTGAATAGATGAACATGTGAATATTTGAATAGATGAATATATAAATAGATGAAAAGATGAATAGATGAATAGATGAAAGGGTGAATAGATGAATAGATGAATAGATGAATAGATGAATAGATGAAAACATAAATAGATGAATAGATAATAAGATGAATAGTTGAATGGATGAATAGATTAAAAGATGAATAGTTGAATGGATGAATTGATTAAAAGATGAATAGGTGAATGGATGAATAGATGAATAGATGAATAGTTGAAAAGAATAATAGGTGAATATAGTATTTAAATTTTTCACTTGTTTTTAAATAAGAAGTGTCAAGATGAATCTTTCTTAAACAAAAGTATTGAATAGTTCAATGATTAGATATAACATTTTCCTTGCCATCTCTCCAGTCACATTTATTGTAGGTTTAGCAGGAAAGGGTGTCAAGATATCTGCTATATTATTCCACTGCTGAGCCCACATATTTCCTTAATTTTATATATTATTCCACTACTGAGCCCACATATTCCCTTTATATTATATATCATTCCACTTATAGGCCACATATTCCCTTAATATTATATATTATTCCACTGCTAGGCCACATATTCCCTTTATATTATATATTATTCCACTGAGGCCACATATTCCCTTTATATTATATATTATTCCACTGCTATGCCACATATTCCCTTTATATTATTTATTGTATTCCACTGCTAGGCCACATATTCCCTTTATATTATATATTATATTCCACTGCTATGCCACATATTCCCTTTATATTATATATTATATTCCACTGCTATGCCACATATTCCCTTTATATTTACCTAGTAGATGAGCAGGTATAGGTCCTGAATTTTTAAGAACAGAATCTCCATAATGCTTGTTTAACTTGTTCCTTAAATAGTGAATGTATTTAGATATTTAGGATTACCCCGTGGTAATGTAAGTAGGATGACAGGGAGATAAAAGGAGGATGACAGGGAGATAAGAGGAGGATGACATGGAGATAAGAGGAGGATGAAAGGAAGATAAAAGTGAGATGAAAGGAAAATAAAAGGAGGATGAAAGGAAGGTAACAGTAGGATGGAAGGAAGATAACAGTAGGATGAAAGGAAGATAACAGCAGAATAAAAGGAAGATGAAAGGACGAGAAAAGTAAGATAAAGGAAGTTAACAGTAGGATGAAATGAAGAGAAAAGAAAGATAAAAGAAGTTAACAGTAGGATGAAATGAAGAGAAAAGAAAGATAAAAGAAGTTAACAGTAGGATGAAAGGAAGATAAAAGTAGGATGAAAGGAAGGTAACAGTAGAATAAGAGGAAGATAACAGTAGGATGAAAGGAAGGTAACACTAGGATGAAAGGAAGATAACAGTAGGAAGATAAGAGTAGGATGAAGATAACAGTAGGAAGATGAGAGTAGGATGAAGATAACAGTAGGAAGATGAGAGTAGGATGAAGATAACAGTAGGAAGATGAGAGTAGATGAAGACAACAGTAGGAAGAGGAGAGTAGGATGAAGATAACAGTAGGAAGATGAGAGTAGGATGAAAGAATTCAATGAATACCTAACGTAAGCATGAAGCTCTTCGTACAAAGGTTTTAATCCTTGCCAAGTGTTTTCCATTTCCTTAAATAAAGAATATTTGTAATAATTGAAAATTTTCTTATCATTTCATGAACAGAAAAGATTATTTTTTAATTAAAACCAATAAAATAACTGTGATTTAAAAAATGATTGAACTAAAATATTGTTTAGATTCTGTTACCGTCGATTCACAAGATTTACAATTATTAAATTATTAATGCATTAATTCTTCATCTTTATATACTATAACCTTTAACCCCCTACAGTCTCCCGTATCTCCCTCTTCCTGTCTCCAGACCTCCTCCCCCCCCCCACTACTCTATCCTCATTCTACCAGTGAGCGCGCTTAACTAGTTAAATGGTCAAGGACTACTAGTAAACCAAATATTTAAAATTATTTCAGTATAATCAGAAATAATACAAATAATTTCAACACGTGAAAATGGACAAATCAACTCCCTTAGCACATTATTTGTTTTTATCCATATCAATGTTGTTTTCAATAAGTGAAATGGGTGTATACCAAAGATACACTGCACAAGCACAATTGCTGTGCTTTATGTACAGGTGTACTGCACATCAAAATTAAAACAGAGTAGGGAATTGTACACTTTAATGTTAAAGGAAGAAATCTTCTTTAAGAAACTTTAACCTTTGATAACATAAATCAGGAAAATGATTGTGTAATTTAACACCTGCATAAAATATTATGTAATTTAACACCTGCATAAAATATTATGTAATTTAACACCTGCATAAAATATTATGTAATTTAACACCTGCATAAAATATTATGTAATTTAACACCTGCATAAAATATTATGTAATTTAACACCTGCATAAAATATTATGTAATTTAACACCTGCATAAAATATTATGTAATTTAACACCTGCATAAAATATTATGTAATTTAACACCTGCATAAAATATTATGTAATTTAACACCTGCATAAAATATTATGTAATTTAACACCTGCATAAAATATTATGTAATTTAACACCTGCATAAAATATTATGTAATTTAACACCTGCATAAAATATTATGTAATTTAACACCTGCATAAAATATTATGTAATTTAACACCTGCATAAAATATTATGTAATTTAACACCTGCATAAAATATTATGTAATTTAACACCTGCATAAAATATTATGTAATTTAACACCTGCATAAAATATTATGTAATTTAACACCTGCATAAAATATTATGTAATTTAACACCTGCATAAAATATTATGTAATTTAACACCTGCATAAAATATTATGTAATTTAACACCTGCATAAAATATTATGTAATTTAACACCTGCATAAAATATTATGTAATTTAACACCTGCATAAAATATTATGTAATTTAACACCTGCATAAAATATTATGTAATTTAACACCTGCATNGATAGTAGATAGTAGATAGTAGATAGTAGATAGTAGATAGTAGATAGTAAATAGTAGATAGTAGATAGTAGATCATTATTGATATTGAATAATAAATAATACAAGGTTACCCACAAAGGATGAGAGTCTAATGACGACATAAATCACATGAAATATAACGTTCATAAGGGGTAAATTCATAGATAAATAAATAAACATAGATAGCTTATGTACGCAAAATCACCAAGAATTGTACAGTCCGCGAACTCAAACTTCTAGGGGTCAAAGTGTACTTCAATGATAAGCGGGGTGGTTTGGTGTTTTAATGGATTTCATAAAAGAGTGTAAATAAACTCCGGGAATGGAACTATTTGAACAACAATATTTCACTGAGAAATATATCATATTGACGAGAACTGAAGAAGGACATATGAGAAGGACTAAACTAACTTAAATTTCTTTTTTCAGAACTCATGTACACCACAAGTACTCAATGACATAAGAACAGCCAATGTTCACAACGGACCTAGGTAATCTATATAATAGGAATATCTTTAAAACATCTCTGTACATTTATATCTTACAAGATGAAAAATGTCTTCTTATGCGCAATCTATCTTTAGCTATGGGTAAATTTGGCGTTTAACCGTTTAACCTGAAATGCTAGCGTTTAACAAATTTACTGAATGATTTGTCTAAGAAAAAAAAACAAGCTTCCAGTAGTAGGGATCGAAGACTGTAAAAAAACGTCTCAATAAATTCCGTACAGTCGTCTCTGAGGCCTCATACTTTGTGGATAATTAATAATTGGTAGCTTAGATGGGAAATAATGTTGGAGATTTAAGTAGAAGTAGACAATGGATAGTACAAATTTATTATGAAAATAGACAGTAGTTTGTAGATTGTAAATAATAAATAAAGTATAGGAGCTTAACGATAATATTTAGAATAGATAGTAGACAGTAGTTAGTAGATTGTAAATAATAAATAAAGTATAGGAGCTTAACGATAATATTTAGAATAGATAGAGATAGAATAGAAAAATCAGTTGATGAATTCAAAAAGCATAATTTACCTTGAACCCGTTTAGAACTGCAGCATTATTGTAGTGTTCAACATATTCCTTGTACATATCCTAAACATTTAGATTCGCGTACAGTGTACTGATATTGTACTCCTTCTACATATCCTAAACATTTAGATTCGTACAGTATACTGATATTGTACTCCTTGTACATATCCTAAACATTTAGATTCGTACAGTGTACTGATATTGTACTTCTTGTACATATCCCAAACATTTAGATTAATACAGTGTACTAATATTGTACTCCTAACATATCCAAAACATTTAGATTCATACAGTGTACTGATATTGTACTCCTTACATATCCTAAACATTTAGACAGTGTATTTAGGTGTTAGGTACTTTCCCAAAGGATTTTTCCCAAGTAGCAACTTCCCAAATGTGCAACAACTTCCCAAGTCTGTCCTAGCCACAGCGCTTGGCCCACCCAGCATGTTCTAGCCACCGCGTTCGTTCCCCCTAGCCCATCCTAGCCGCAGCGTTCGGCCCTATTGCAGCCTGCGGCGCCTCAGAGGGCCTAACCTAACCATTGGGAAGTTGCCGCTTGGGAAATTGCACATTTGGGAAGTCGCCCTTGGGAAAATGCCTTTGGGAAAGTACATATAATACCTTATATTGTACTCCTTATACATCCTAAACATCCTCCCAGTGTAGTTCCTTGAAAAATGTACAAACTCTCTGCTTTAACCTCCACTAGTTTTTATTATCTAAATACCTTAATCTGTTTGCCTGATTGATCCCTCCATTGTGTCCAATAATATTCAAGCTCAGCTGGGTCCCTTGACTTTAACCATACTTTCAGTTTAACTGTTCTTAATATCTTCAAAACGTTATTGTTTGGTTTAAACAAGATGGAGTTTGTTTAAACAAGATGGAGTCTGTTTAAACAAGATAGAGTCTGTTTAAACAAGATGGAGTTTGTTTAAACAAGATGGAGTCTGTTTAAACAAGATGGAGTCTGTTTAAACAAGATGGAGTCTGTTTAAACAAGATAGAGTCTGTTTAAACAAGATGGAGTCTGTTTAAACAAAATGGAGTCTGTATAAACAAAATGGAGTCTGTTTAAACAAAATGGAGTCTGTTTAAACAAGATGAAGTCTGTTTAAACAAGATGAAGTCTGTTTAAACAAGATGAAGTCTGTTTAAACAAGATGAAGTCTGTTTAAACAAGATAGAGTCTGTTTAAACAAGATGGAGTCTGTTTAAACAAGATGGAGTCTGTTTAAACAAGATAGAGTCTGTTTAAACAATATGGAGCCTTTTTAAACAAGATGAAGTCTGTTTAAACAAGATGCAGTCTGTTTAAAAAGATGGAGTCTGTATAATCAAGATGGAGTATGTATAAACAAGATGGAGTCTGTATAAACAAAATGGAGTCTGTTTAAACAAAATGGAGTTTGTATTAAAAAAAATGAAGTCTGTATTAACAAAATGAAGTCTTTATTAACAAAATGGAGTACGTATAAACAAAATTGAGTCTGTATAAAAAAATGAAGTCTGTATAAAAAAATGATGTTTGTATTAACAAAATAAAGTCTTTATAGCAAATTTTGTACAAACAAAACGAAGTCTGTATTAATAAAATGAAGTCTGTATAAACAAAATGAAGTCTGTATAAACAAAATGAAGTCTGTATAAAATAATGGAGTCTGTATAAACAAATTGAAGTCTGTATAAACAAAATGAAGTCTGTAGTAATAAAATGAAGTCTGTATAAACAAAATGGAGTCTGTATAAACAAAATGGAGTTTGTATTAACAAAATGAAGTCTGTATTAACAAAATGGATTCTGCATTAAAAAAATAGACTCCTTATAAACAAAATGAAATCTGTATTAACAAAATGGAGTCTGTATATACAAGATGGTGTCACTTTAAATATTTTGAATGAATGATTGTTCAGTAATATAATCAACAAGTTAAACTGATTTAATTCCTCGGCCATTGTTTGGGTAAGTTCTGGTTCTAAACTGTAATCCAGGAGCATACTCTCATAGTCCTTCACCTGAAATTATACATTCTTCATTGTACACAGTACAATGTAAATTATTGTACATTGTACAGTGTACAATATTGTACAGTGTACAGTGCACAATATTGTACAGTGTACAGTGTATAAACCATTTGAACCCTCTTCCTTAATCCTGACTGTGTGGATTTTTTTAATTTACTCAAAAATAATTGTTCTACAGCTAATCAATTTTTTTACTTTTCTTACTAACACATGCTGTACACACAGGCTATAATGCCTGCTGGTTGAACCATTAAATGCAAAGAAATTTTGCACAAATTATTTTAAAGGGAGTTCGCACAATTTCAATATTTCTTATATACAAACTTAGGTTTTGAAAATTTTGTAAATATTTTGCATTTTTTGGATTTTTTTGCGGAACTAACTTATTCCGACTGTACACTTAATTCTTCCTTTGCCAAAACATTTAGGACACCACTGTTTTTAGGGACGATGACAAAAACATTTAAATTGTTGTTTTTAAAGAAATTCCGGTTTTCATGAGAGTTTGAAACTTACCAGTGAATGAATTTTATTACATACTAGCTGAAGGGCCCGGCGTTGACCGGGGAAAAAAAATAAGAAAATAAAATTTGCCCAATCGGCCCAGCCGTTTGGCCGGCTTTACGCAACATATATTTATATGTATACGACTGCTTGTTTTAATATATAGATTAATATTTTTTTCCAATTTACTTATAGCAACTGGAAAGGTATAAATTCATGTAGAAGGGTGCAAATTGCAATTGTCTAAGAACCAAGATTTTACCTTAGCTGTGCTGTATTTCTTTCCCATTTCTGCCTTCAACTTGTTGAACTTTCTAAACATAAAAAAAGAGATAGCAAAATGTTTTAGAAAAACCATCAATGTGCATTGATTTTATCATACAAATAAAACATTGACCAAATGAATAATACAAAAGACCTTTTAAAATCAAAAGGCAATAAAAGAAAGAGTCATAAAAAAATATAAAGATATCAGGGGTTGGAATGAATCTAATATAGAGAAGTATTTGAACTAACTATGATTAGTTTAACTATTTCACTAGTCTTTTGGTCACACCAGAGAAGTAGCTGAACTCTGTCTACAGTTCAACTACTTAATTTTGTCCTCAGGACTGAATTTTACCTGAGAATATCTGGCCTAAGGACCGCAGTTCCCAGATTAGAAAGTAGTTTCAGTTTCCGCTGGAACAATATCCCGTCAGAAAACGAGACCAAGGAGAAGAAAAAACATAGTATTTGTACAATTACTATAAACCTTAGATTTACAACAACAATTGTTCAATAAAACTCTTTATAAACAACCTAAGTTCATTTCTCCAATACGATTTTAATGTATCTAACCCAAAATTTAAAATTCAATCAATAGAGGCAAAATTCGGCCTTTTTAGAGAATATATGAGCTTACCAAACCTTGAAATTGAGATATGATCTTTACAAATTTAAATGGCGCCAGAAAGAAAATGGCAACAAAACCAAAATTGCGGCATAAACAAAATGGCGTCAAAAACAAAAACAATAAATTATCGTATGGATGAATATGATGGGATTCCTTGACATCTGGATCTTGAATATTTTCTTTAGAATATCTTTGCGCATCTTTTCCTATAAAATAAATATATTTAATTTAGTATTTTTTTTGGTGGGGAAGGGGGGACGAGCAGAGGGGGACAGGGCCCGAAATATAACGGTTTAAAGAAACAAATGTCTGTTACCTATTTTCTTAAATAGAGCGTCATAAGCATCCTACACAAACAAATCTTTAAATTACTATGAAATTTAAATTGTGTTTTTTCTCCAAAAAAAACTATTTTTAATGTAAAATGCCTAAAATAAAGATTTTCCTGAGCATCTAGACTGAGGGCCTGTGTCTCATCTAAAATATTAGATTTTCAGTTTCAGTTTTTATTAGTTTTGATATATTATATACAATTCATTTTTTTAAATTTAAATGAAAACAAAACAATGTTATTTAGTTTTAAGATGCATATGTTCTATAGACAAATTAAAGATGTTTTTCACCTATTTAAAAATGCAAATAATAACCTAATTGTTTCCAATAAAAAACGCAAGTATGTCAATCATACGCTCTAATATTTCCCATGGCCAGACTGACTTCTGTGTATAATACTTATCATGTTTTTTTTCACAAAAAGCCAGTTTTCTTATAGATTTAGTCAATTTTACGAGACTTCTGGTGTATTTTTTAAAAATTTATTCTTACATAATATTAAAATTTAGCATCTTGTGTTATCATAATGCATGCTGGTCGGTCCAAGGTATCGCGAATCCTAGGATTTCTGGCAAAAACGAGACACAGACTAATCTTTGAAAAAATAAGTATTTGGTCCTAGACATCTTGCAATGAAAAGATTGATCTGATCATTTAAGATCTTAATTAAAAACATTTTGGACTATCATGTGCATTTTTAAATATGTGAAATTTCAAATGTACAAATCAAATAATTATAATTTATATTATTTTATAATTTCAAATTATCTTAGAAAGGGAGGGGGGGAGGTCGGTTCTAATACAGGGGACATTAGTTCCATAACTAACAATTTATAAATAACACTGAGTGTTAGAAATGAGTAATTGTCTCAAAACCAGGATATGTTCCAAAAACGCAACATGAGCTGAAATGTGGTAATTGTTTCAAAGTAGGGATATGTTCGAAAATGAAAACAAATTTCATCAAAAACTAATTCTCAAACCTTATTATTAGTTTAAAGTTGACATTTTTTGTTTCAATAATTAGTTTTAGCCATTTTTGATAAATATGTTTTGTAGTTTTGTTTAACTCGGCTTGGTTTTAAAGATGTATACGCTTGAAAAAGATAACTTTGCAGATTTGTTAGTTTTGGAACTAATTTCCCCTGTATTATCACATTAACAGGACGGATGACCATTAGAATGTCCCATTATTCAAGAAACTGTGTTACATTACAATTTGGTTTGCTGAAGGTGACAACAAGTGTTTTGAATTTAGCGATATTTGACACCAACCTGTAATATTGCTCTCAAAATTCCAAGATGCATGCGTCGCTTTAATAGATTCAATCTAAACACAATAACAAAATATAAACGTCTTTTTAAACTTGAATAAATTAATGCAAACAATTGAGAATGTCAAAGAAATGATAATTTTAAAATTATAAAAAGACTGAAAAAAATTTGTTATTTTTCCTCAAGTTTAGTTTCTGCATCTTGAACAAAGCTCTTGATCTCTAATTCTGATACGGTCAGCGCTACCTGGATCCATCCTAGATACTCAGCTTTCAATTCATACATCAAATCAAAATACCAACAACTATATTTTTGCTGCCTGGTGGTGTAAATATTAGATGTTTGATAAGGTCAAAGACATCAGGTTGAAAGATAAAAGATTAAAAAATTCTTTTATTTCGTTTTTTTCGTTAGATAAAAAACTGTTCCCTTTAAATTTAGAATAATATTGAGAAAAACATTTGTAAATATTTGCTTAAGAACTTAGTTTAATTGATAGTTTAAAGTTTAAACCCTTTCTTTAAAAAGTTACGCTCACAACAGACAACCAAAAAACAACCTTAAAGCATACAAGCAATTCAGATTCAGAATTAAGCAAAATTTGTCAAAGAAAAAGACGTTTGATCGTTAAATCTGAGAAGTTAATGTTCCGGATATTTTGCTACAGACCCCTCCCCCCCCCACCCGAGGTAAATGTGTCAAAACGATCAGATCTGTTGCTAAAGATGTTTTTCTTCTAACGGCTGTAAACCATTTAGTTCAGCAAAAAATGTAAAAATAAACCAGAGACAGGGCGCGGAATGCTCTAATCATGTTAACATCTTAATATAATTTGAACTGTAGATTTAGGATTCTGCTTTTCATTGTCCCTTCATCTCAGCTTTAATGTAACTTCAGTGAACAAAATGAAAATGTAAAATAAAGTGTAAACCGTTGACTTTAATTTCAATCAAATTTTTATTTCTAATTCAAATCACTGATCGATGAAACAATAGAGTTACCGTCTGTGTATTGAGCTTTAAGCTAAAACGCCACATGAAGCTTAAAAAGCTTAAACCTTTAGCGTGTTTGGTTGAAATGAGAAATCGTTTTTTTGTGGAATGAATTTTCTTTTATATATATATATATGTATATATAATATATTAATATAGATTGAAAGTTTCCTGAGGCAAGGATGAACAGCGAGAAACCTCTCCACATCTTTGCTTAGGTCAGATAATAACCTATACCAGGCACTATAGTAGTAGTATACTAGACCTAGAAACATGATAATATACCCAGACGAGGGCCTTTAAAAAACATAATACTTTATAGAGAAAAAAAAGAATTTAATATTCTGTGACAGAATTATAAATATGTATACGAGTTGATCAAAAAGAAAGAAAAATATTTCAGTGTTTGTAAGAAACTAACAAATATATAACGTAAATGAAAATATTAAAAAAATGGCTACTATATTTTAATGAAAATATTTAAAAAATGTCTACTATATTTTAATGAAAATATTTAAAATGTCTACTATATTTTAATGAAAATATTTAAAATGTCTACTATATTTTAATGACTGAACTACAATTAAATACGAGAGTTCAACACTTGTATGTTATCCAGTTAAAGGTTTACCGGACACTGATATTATGTATCCTACACCCAGATACTCTTGTAGAACCAAACATACATAGATAGATAGATACAACATGGATACAACTTAGATACTCGACTTATGGCTGAAGGGGTGTTAAAGCGTACGAAGTCAAGCCATACCCAAACCAAGCGAAACTATTTCTTAAAAACCGGTTGAAATGAAATTCTTCTGAACCAACACCCTCCCCTAATCGTTTTAATCTAAACAGTGATACCCCCCCCCCCTTTAAACCTTATTTCTGATTGCCTAAGTCAAACTAAAACATCAAAAAAGTTATTTGCACCTTTTTCAACCCCCCCCCCGTGAACTTCTAGCTGGGCTGTATATATCTTGATTGACCACATATCATGTCCAAATTTTCAATAACTCCCAACATCAAGTTAAACGTTTTTATTCCATTCTGTTTATAGGTTTTCTAGTTTTTCTTTTAGTAGAAGTTTATAGCGCTAGTACACTTTAATAGGCGATACCTATTAAATGATTAAATGTTTTTTTCTAACGTTAAACGTCTCGAATAATAAAAGTGGTTTTATATTTTAATAGACGATAGCTATTAAATAATTAAATGTTTTTTCTAATGTTACACGACTCGAATAATAAAAGTGGTTTTATATTTTAATAGACGATACCTTTTAAATGATTAAATGTTTTTTCTAAGGTTATAAAGTTATAAAGTTATAATTTTTAATTATGTTTTCTCTACAAAAATGACTTGCGGAATTTATGCAACACAGACAAAAACTTACAGTTACAGAATAGAATCCTTTTTAAGATTTCTCAGACAAACATTTCATCATTATTGTCGCGCATCAGGCATGCCACTATTTTTCATGAATACTCCCTTTTAATTTACGTCAACACTCCCTTTAGAAATAGTAAAATGTATACCAAGAGGTCAGATTAAATATATAAACAAAATTATCGCACTCTATAAACACTTTAGTTAATCTCTTCATATTTGGATTATCCTCATATACTTATAGATAGGAATATTAATATTTAATATATCTAGTAGTTTGTGTGGACTGCAGAATATAATAGGATTATTTAAACTAATTCCTGATTTAGATAATAGAGTGTCTTAAGATAAAATCACACTTGCGCCACATCCTACGTCACGTGGATTTAACGGTTTTGTCAACATTCCAGAAAGCTGTGACTTTCGACAGCAATTTGACCCATTAAACACAATTTTTTAGACTTTTTTCTTAAATACTTTTTTGTCGGCATATGCATTTTAGACTAAACAAATCCGTAAGGTAAAAGATTTTTGAATTATAAACCAAAACACGATTGATTTTAAATAAAAGAAACCGAATGCTGCTCACTCTGGTTAGTCCGGGGTGACGTACAACATAATATAGACAACTCTATCTTCTTCTTTCCCTTTAATCATTATTATATTTATTCATGCCCATTGTGCTCCTTCTTTCTTTACATTTACATGTGTCGCTGTTTTTCCCCTGAATTATTTATCCTTTTTCGCCTTCCACCGTCTCTTCTTCTTCTTCATAACCTCCCTCAAACCTTTAAACATGGATATCTAATTGATACCATTGTGAATCAGGCATTGACATCTTTGCAGGAGGGTTCACTTGAAATTACCTTACAGGCCATTTTAGACAGCTTGAAAAAAATTATGGGATGCCAGACCTAGATTTTTAAAAATTAATATTTTAATACTCATCAATATTTTCCATTTATTTGTATTGAAGTTGAAGGTTGATGTGTCAAACAACTAAAAAGTTACAATTACTGTGATCACACACCTCAGGCTTCAACTGGGCGTATTCAGAAATTTACCCAGGGGGGGGCTTACATTTTTTCTTTCCAGGGGGGGTGAGCCCCCCTGAAACCCCCTGAAATTAATAGATTTTATTAGTCCAGGGGGCTTAGCCCCAATACCCCCCCCCCTGAATACGCCTCTGAGCCTTAAGACCTCATTTCTCTTTACAGTGCGCATGGAGGTGTAAAAAATTTTGGAATAGGAAATTACTCAGATATGTCTACTATACAAAATTTGTAAAAATATGATATTTTGCCTCTTTTAATCAATAATTTTACTTTGACTGACCCTGTTCAAAAATAGTCACGATTGAGTCTTTGCCACAACCTTAAATTTTCTTATCCCTATATATTTGCAACCTGATGGTTTAACCTTTGATATTTCAAACTTAGATTATTTAATCTAACAGAGTTCATAGTTTGAAATATCTAATTTGGGTTATGAAGTTGCAAAGAAAAGGGGATTAAAAAAGTTCTGTTTAAGGGTAGTTTAAGGGTAGTTTTTCTTATTGTTTGAAGAAAATATATGGTATACTTTTGCTATAACTTTTTATTTAGGGTTATCTTGTGGTCAGCTCTGCATACAAACAAACAAACCGACAAACCAATAAAAATATAAATATATTATTTTTATCATAATTATTATCCCCCCCCCCCTCACTGATCCGTAGATTGTTTATTTTTTAAGCGTGACGAATTATTTCTATTAATATATCGTTCTTATGCTTAAAACATTTAAAGTTTTTTCTTTGTTTAAACAATTCAAACTCCGGTTTTCAAACATATTGTGTTTTCTAAAACAACGCTTATCCCGTTTTTTTTACCCTGCACGTATTGAATATAATTTTGTACTATAATTACTGACAATTAGAAAAAGAAATGATAAAATTCTTTTCACTGTTTTGACAATTTAAACTTCACTTAACAGTATTTAAATAATATAATAAAGATCTTTGCTTATGTAAATATATTTGTATATTAAAATCCATAATCTTTGTTTTTAAACACCTGTTTAAATACATGTTTATCGAGAGGATCGAGAGATCTGAAACAATTTGTATTATCAAATATGAAAAACTGAGACTGCTCTGATTTGTTCTGGTAAAACTCAAGGGAGCCCGGGTAGCTAAAACATTTCGAAATTTTTTTCTTTCAAAATTTAATCGTTTTTTAATTCCACCGCAATGCCAGGCACTATTATAATATATGCCGGATACAAGGGTTTCCTACAGAGGTGAATAACTTCTTGGGATGAATATCCTGAAATTACAAAAATATCAATATAAGATGATTATTTGTCTAAATTCGGATTTAAATTTGTTGAAAATTTAATGATAAAAACAAGAGTTTGCAAACTTTTTGCGTGTAATTTGATTATATGTAGAAGACGGAGAAAAAACCTTTAGCATTAGGAATTTGGACAAAGCTTTTAATCCTTTTTTCCGGGGTCCCCCCCACCCCACCCCGCCTAATTGTTTTTTTGGACAAAACTCTTACAAGTATGGGTCTGAGGCTAATTATTTTTTTTTTACACTAGTTAACACATGCTTTAAATTTAAACTTTAAACATGCACATGCACGTGCACAAAAAAATAACCTTTCTTATCGCTTTTTTTGTCTCCATCCTTACTCTATCAAAAATAACAGACAGCTGGTTGAATGTAAAGAGTTTTTGGTCGACATTAAAGTTGATCAATTGTGAGTAACCCTGCATATGTTAATATATAAATATACCTATATACCTATATACCTGTATATATTTATAATTATATGCCTACATTGTTTTATTTAAAGGATTCACAGTCTGAATAATTTTCTACTCTGTTCATCTGGATGTATTATAGTCCAACTCCGTCATGGGATGAAACTGAACTATTTGATTAGGAGATATATTAATAAAATTGTAAATAAACAACTACAGGGGTCGCTGACCGCTTTTACAAAATCACACTATTTCCTTTCAAATCATGCTAATTTTTATTTTTTTTATTTTTAACCTTAAAAACGTTATTGAAACAATTTATCTTATAGACTATAGTATTCAAAGAAAGATCATTCGCTTGAAGTTTATATAAAGAGCAAATATAAACATATAAATGGTAACTCGAGACTTCAGAACAGTTAAATATAGCGTAAGGTTTTTAGATAGAATATCTTCAGAATGTCAGTCTCTGAGATATCAAAGCTAAAGAAATTCAAGTGTAAACATGTTTCTGCAGATTCAGTTAAGCATTGCCTTTAAATTGCGACCATTTAGCAAAATCATCAGAATTAGCTTAGCTTACTTTGGTATATTTATTAAAATGTTAATTGTTATTAAACTACAAGAAATGGAATTAAATGCTAATCAAAATATATTATCTACTGTCGTCGTCGTTTATATAAATACATTAAAGATCGACTTTCTGTTTATATTTAAAATTTCTACCAATCTTTTAAACAGCAGAGACACATAAACATGTAAACAAAGAGAAGTTGTCCATTAACAGCTAATAAACTAATAAACTTTTAATTTTAAAAACGCTTGTAAGGGATCAAAGCATTATTAAAAAGTTGGCTTAATTTTATTGATATAATCACACGACCACACTGTAGAACACTGATCCGTGCAAGAATTAGATAATTAGCTCTTTGCTTCATAGACAATTTGAATTCTATATTGTTTAGTAAAAATAGCTCTCTCTGTCTTCCAAAGTCTTTGATTTAGCTCAGAATTGAGGACGCAACTGAAAGGTTTTATCAGGATAAACATTAAAATTCTTGTTGTTCCTTTTATTTTTTTAGACCCAGCTTGTAGTCTCCACGCCCCCCCTCCCCCTCTAAACCAATTACTTTACCTTCAGGGTCTCCTCTGAAGATTTTACAAATCTCGGGAGCTATATTTCCCCTACATATATTTATATGTCAGCTATTATAGCTGGCTAAACGGCCGGACCAAACTGGCTGACATTTTTTAGGGAACCCTTGAGTACCCTGGAGGTTACAAAGTCTAAAAAAATCGATTTTTTATTTTTCAAAATTCGATTTTTTTCAAAAATCCATTTTTTTCAAAATTAAAATTTTTTCTTCAAGTGTTACAAACATTTCACGGGCAACGCCGGGCACTTTAACTAATATTTCATGTAGAATAATTTTGTACTGCTCCGAGCTGCAACGATAGTCTAATCGGAATAATAAAAAAGAATCAGAGATACTTTTGTTGGATCGATTCCAAGGTTTTCCTTTTTTATTTCCAGAAAGATTGTTAAATGAGGTAAACTATTATTATTTTTATATCCGTTCCATGTTCAATGTTTTGTCCAAGTTTTATCTATTTTATCAGTTTCCAATGAACTGTTCTGGCAGAAGGTACTGTCTGCAGGGTTTCTAAACATTTAGATTTTTCCTTTTTTCTGAAGATATTTATTTGAAGATACAGATGGTATTTATTAGAACACCATTCCAGATTTTAGCGTCAAAACTAAAATTTTGAAAAAATATTTATTTTCGTCTTAAAAACGATGCATTTAAAAAATATTTATGGAATTAATTTCTTTATTTTGTTTGAAAAATCCAAAAAGAGGCTTATTTGTTTTGCACAATCTAACATGGCTAGGAATATCTTGTATTTACACACGGAACACATGAGTTTGCCGACGTTTAAATGTAATTACTAATCCAGCACTTCATGATTCATTAAAATACAAATATGTACAAAATCAATGAACCCTACTTGTCAAAAATACTTTTAAACTCCGTAGAACGGGATACTGGGGGAATAACTCTATAATGGGTTTTACTAGGTTAATATCTAAAAAAAAAAAATTTTATTAAACATTTATAAAAATTGTCAGAAAAATGGCTGGATCAAGTTCACACATGGAAACAAAGGGTTAGATATTTTTACTGTTTCGAGAATATACGAGTATAGGGAAGAAGAGAGGTAAAATAAATATAGGAACAGTGCACTTTAAACACCGGTTCATTTAATGTAGCGCTATGAGTGACTTTTAAACAGCCAGGACAGGTTGTACAGTATATATAGCGTACAACTACAGACGTATAGACGACCAAACGGGACAGTACACCAGATGAATCATCTCCTAATTGTACAGTATATATAGCGTACAACTACAGACGTATAGACGACCAAACGGGGCAGTACACCAAATGAATCATCTCCTAATTTGTGAGATTGTTGTGAGGAGAAAGATAGAGAGAGAAATGAGGGGTTAGGAAGTTTTGTCGATATCAATATTTTTGTTATGAAATATTATTTTATTTAGTTTCTTCATTTTCTCCAAAAGAACGTAATTTTTAAGTTATCCTCCATTAAACAAGTGGGATGACCAATTAACAATGATGCCTTTTAAATCTGTATCTAATCAACAATGAGCAAGATACCGTTTATCCATATTTAATAAAATTGAATAAGATTTCTTTAAGTTACGTACTATGTCTCTGTTGTAAAATATCAGCAAGTCATTTTTGTAGAGATACCATAATTAGAAATTGAACTTTTCAAAAAGATGAAAAAAGATGTTTTAATAATTATTCCTCGAGCAAGGTTTAAATGATACCGTTGTGAATCTGATATGCCTATATATACAAATAGTTGTTTGAAATTAGGCGCGTATACAGTTACAGAATGTGAGAAACATGACTGAATCAATTCCGTAGATAAATTCTCTGAGGTCTCATTCTTTGTGGGTGACACTGTACGTTACACCATCAACTAAGCTGTCAGTGTGTAGTGCAGGGATGTGTAGTACTCTGACCGAAGAAATAGTGGGATTTAGTGGAAAGTAGTAAAAATATCTGTATATCTGTGTGTAGAGAACAAGGGAAATAAAGGAGAATTAAAACATCTTTCTACAGAAGAAAGTCAGGTATACGAATATAGACAAATTAGAATTAAAAGTGACAACCTGGAATTAACTCTTTGAATACTAAAATTCGGACATTTATTCTGTGTTCGATAATATAAAGCGAAATAGTTGTCGTTTATTTTTCATTTAAAAGGTCGCGAGGGATTTTTTACCATTGTTGTCATGTAAACTTGAATTTTGAAAAACGCTTGTCAGGGATCAAAAATATTATTTTTAAAAATTCGTCTTCATTGCATTAATATAAACGCCCAACACGAAAGAAAGAAAGACGATAAATATTTCGTTGTTTAAAGGTTGCCACTTTAAATATTTTTACAAATAATTAATTTGTATGTAAAACAGTTCGTAAAATTGTATAGTTTAACAGACTCGCTGGCTTTTAAACCAAGGACAAAACTTATTAAATAGCGAGAAATTGTTGTAGAAAAAATTTGTTTCGCTTAATGTACACGTAGTTCAACTATTCCTTGATATTCATTAAATCCCCCCCCCCCCAGGGCCTTTAATTCAACAAATACTTCAGCTAAAAAATGACGAAGTTTGGGTTTCCAATTCTACGTCTTTGAATTACCGATTTCTTTTCTAGGAAATATTTGCAGTACTCTCTACAGAGGAGAAGGAGGTTTTTAGAGAAGCTTTCAGTAAATTTGATAAAGATGGTAGTGGAAATATTAGCACTAAGGTCAAATAAATAAATAAAGTGATAGATAAATGAATAAATGAATAAATGAATAAATGAATAAATTAATAAATGAATAAATGAATAAATGAATAAATGAATATTTTGTTTACATTTTAAAACAAAAAAGAAAAAATTTTGCGGATTAAAAAAAAAATCGCGGATTTTCAAGAATTTAAATATTTTTACAAAATTAAGAACCTTTAAGACACATTTTTTTTATTTTTATCATTAATAAATCTTCCCTGTGGTCACGTGATGTCCCACAAAAAATTTGTGCCCGATCGGTTCAGCCGTTTATTGGATACAAACAAACAAACAGACAAACAGACAGACAAGCCAAATTTATATATAGATTGAAGGGTTTCCGGCAGAAAATAAATATTTGTATAAAATAATGATTTCTGCTTAGATGAGAGAGAATGACCCTCTAAGCGATACAAAAGAAGCATTCAGGAAAAATAAAAAAATACTTGAACCAAAAATAACACTTTTTGTTGTCATATTGAATTAGTTTAGTTACCTTGTTTGCTTGAAATATTGCAATTGCTTCAATCCATATAAAAGTACTTTTTCCTTTGCAGAGTTTTTGATGCGGAAGGATTTGGTTTTATAGGTAATCATCTTTAATTGCAATTCAGATTTGATTCCTTGGCACATATAGCTATAATAGAGCACGTGATGCATTGATTCAATATGTTGGAACTCTCTGTATTCATAAAATTATTCTTGAACCAGCGATGATCGATTACCTCTTTTTGAGTATTTTATCTAGAACCTGGAGAATTAAGGAATGTATTTGCGGCTCTACCAATGAAGAGTAAGAATAAATTACATTATCATATTTTTCAAAAATACTTTTTAAAAATGTTTTCCGTGAACTCTGAACTTTTATGTGAAATTGAAAAGTAGAACGCTATCTTTCCAAAACAAAAATGGGCAATTTAATTTATGAGGCAGGCATTGGTTGTATAATTTTTAAATAACTTTCTTTAATCTTTCTCCAAGTCTAAAATTGGATATATAAAGACAATATCTAGTGTGTGTGGGGAGGCCCAGGCAATACAGTTCACCTAAATTTAGACACTATCTATAAACGTTTTAAAGTAAAAAAGTCTTATTTCAGTGTCTGATGAAGAGATTGATATAATGCTGAGAGCAGCGGATATAAATGGAGATAAACGGATTGATCTTCATGAGTTCGGGTAGGAGTTTTAGAATCTTTATCACTTTATCAAGAGCGATTGATCTTCATGAGTTCGGGTAGGAGATTTAGAATGTTTATCTCTTTATCAAGAACGATTGATCTTCATGAGCTCGGGTAGGAGATTTTAATCTTTGTCTCATAATCATGAAGGATTCATCTTTGAGCTCGGGTAGGAGTTTTAGAATCTTGATCTATTTATCACTTTATCAAGATTGATCTTCATCAGTTCGGGTAGGAGATTTTAATCTTTGTCTCATAATCATGAAGGATTCATCTTTGAGTTTGGGTAGGAGTTTTAGAATCTTGATCTATTTATCAAGAAGGATTGATCTTCATGAGCTCGGGTAGAAGTTTTAGTATCTTTATCTATTTATCAAGAAGGATTAATGAGTTCGGGTGGGAGATTTATAATCCTTATCTCTTAACCATGAAGGATTGATCTTCATGAGTTCGGATGGAAGTTTTAGAATGTTTATCTCTTGATCATGAAGGATTAATCTTCTTGAGTTTTGGTAAAATCTTTATTTACCCAAACTCGTGAAGACTATTCATGAGTTCGGGTAGGAGATTTATAACCTTTATCTCTTAACCATGAAGGAATGATCTTCACGAGTTCGGGTAGGACTTTTTAGAATTTTTATCTCTTGATCATGAAGGATTAATCTTAATAAAGACCATTTATGAGTTCGGGTAGGAGATTTATAACTTTTATCTCTTAACCATGAAGGATTGATCTTAATGAGTTCGGGTGCAAGATTTATAACCTTTATCTCTTAACCATGAAGGAGTGATAGTCATGAGTTCTGGTAGGAGCTTTAATTTTTGTATCTATTTATCAAGGTAGATTGGTCTTCATGAGTTCGGGTAGGAGACTTTTGACCTTTATCTCTTAACCAACCATTAAGGATTGATCTTCATGATTTCGGTTAGAAGTTTTAGAATTTTTAAATATTTTTCATGAAGGAGTGATCTTCATGGGTTCGGGTAGGAGATTTAGAATCTTTTTGATATATTCTTTATAAAGAGCTTTTAGTTTTGTATCATTATTTCTAAACCATGAAGGATCAGTTTATTAGAGTTTGAGCCGAATTTGCAAAATCATCATCATCCCTAACCCTTAATCACTTTGCCTTTAGTTTCCATTTTTGAAATATCAATAAGCTCTAGTCTTAAGAGCTTTATCGGGAGGCGGCTGCACCCCATCGCTTAAAAATTGGACCTTCGTCGCTAAATAAAAAATAGCAACTTTGACTATCTTTAATTGAATAAGTAGTCTTCCAATTCCAAAGTTTTATGAGTGTCTGTTTAGTATGAAACTATTTGCAGGTTGATGTGTGGATACTCAAACATGAACACAAATCCATCTAAACCAACCATGTAGTTAACTACACTCTAATCCATGGTTCATTTAAAGTACCGGGCCGATTACTAAGCAGCTGGAACTAACTGTACCTTACAAATACAGACAAAGCGGGACGGTAAACCGAATGAATCATCCTCTTCCATGGGGATTCTAATTATTTAACTCAACTCATTAGTACCAATTGGGTATATACTTTTTTTTAATATTTCAGGGCAAAGATTTAAACCAATTTTTAGAGGACTTTTAAACGAATTGTTAGCGTAATTTCCGTTTATCCTCAATGCATCGATAGAATTAAAGCCGTATTCACAGCAGTATCTTTAAAGCCTTTATCTGATGAATAATGTGGAAGATTTGTCTAGGTTTACGTGTAATTCTAAAGCAGTCGATTTTTTAGAAATAAGATTTGTAAAAACCATGTTTTCAAATTTAGACAGTGTACACATTGATACATAATTCATACTAGCTTAGACAAAGCATTTAAGGGTATCGTTGTGGATTTGGCATTGAGGGCCCCTTGAAATAGCGTTTATGGATTAGAAAGGTGAATAGTTTTTTTTTACAAATCTTTAAAATTTAGGTTTGAAATTAGGGCCTTCACTATCGACAAATTTTACTTATAATTTTGGAAACATTTTATTTTAACTAATATTCTTATCATTGGTGGCGAAAAAGTTTGTTTCCTCGCCGTTCCCTACCTAGAAATTCATGGCTTATTTCTTTGTCAAAAAAATGAACAAAATTTAATACTTGCTTTAAATTTATTCTATTAACTTTTTAACAAAACCAGTATATCATTTTTCAAATGTAATGTCACAACGGAAACATATTTCACTTTGAGTTTTAACACTTTCTACAAGACAATAGATATTTATGATAGAACATTTACATTAAATATCTTTAATTATTTCAGATCATAATATCAAACTACGTCAAAGATGTATAAATCCTAAAAAGTTTCATTCTTATAATAATTATGAACGAAACCTTTCGAAGTTATACACATCCTGTTATTCTACAGTTCGCCAATGAGCAAATAATATTACAACAGATACAATAATTTGAACATTTACTATATCTAATGAAAAATATATATTTAAGAAAGCCAAGAAATACAATTAACCCTTAAATAATACTGGATCAAACCAGAGCCTGATAATATTGTAAGTCAACATTTTTCTTAGTCCTTCATAAATTGACAGAAAATCAATCTATTCTGAGACTGAACACGAGCGGTTTTCTGGACATGAAAAATGCTTATATTTACAAGGTTTGAAAGCAGTCAAAAATCATCGACAATACATTTTCTTAGTGCTTGGGATCCATTTCATTTTGATGCGTATCCGGATCCGTATCCATGTCATGAACATTTATTAATGATTTACTAATTTCTTGAAATAAAGAAGAATTTTTAAATTATTTTCATCTTTTACTCCCTTATTTTTATGCCAAAACTCGATAAACCATTCAGAGAGAAGGAAAATGTTCACAGTTCAGATTTAGGTTTTAAAACCAAAAAGTTTATTTACAGTTTTTGATTAATATCCGTGGATTCGCATTTATTTGCAGATCCGGATCCAGGAAGCCAAATGTTGCGGATCCAACGGATCCGAATCCCTAGCACTGATACCGACAATAAAATTTATAATCAAAGACTGAAGGATTTTCTACTGTGGGTTAATTTTATACAAGAGCATATGCAATTAATATATATTGGCTCCAGCCTACTGATATTTCTATTATAACAAACATTATAATTGTGTAACAAAAAGATTAAATTCTCTGCTTAAATGTTTTCAAGTGTAAAACTAGTTAAACCAACAATAAATCTTACCTAAGTTCCTAACAATATTTTCTTGGGTTGGACAACCCTGCTTTTTAAATCAGATGTAGGGTTGTTAAGAGATCGTTTTTTGTTTTGATTTTAGGACAGTGAAGGACAGAATCGGACTGGAATAGGATATGTTAGGACAATACATGACAGGAACGTATGGGAAGGATAGGTATTAGATTAGGACAGAAAGGGAGAAAAAATAGAAATTATAAGTGAAGCTTCAGAAAGCGGTCTTGATAATATTTACCCCATAATAGGAAGAGGAAATATATCAATATTTGATGGAATGATTTATCGCCTTTTGACAACATCACATACACAATAAAGATTGCTTTAAAGTCGTCTTCCAATTCAAAAGTTGGCAATTTTTATATCAAGGTAAATAAATGTTAACTGTATAATGACAATGTACAGATAAAAATAAAAAAAAATAACTTGTCCATACTTGAACAAAGAATAAAGAATCTAGTAAGAAAGTCATGTGAATGATCTAAAGACTGAAAGCCAGGATATAAATATAAGGAACCAGGGAACAAATGAATACAAATGTCAAATGTCAAGGATATGATCTACTCCATCTTCTTGGCGGGGAGGAGGACCGTCTGCTTCGCCTTCTCCATACCCATGAGGTACTCGGCTATACCGAAGTAGTAAACCGTCTATACAGGAAAAACAAAATTAATTAAAAAGTACTTTTCCTAATACTGTAAAAAGAAATTAATGAACTAGAAAAATAGGAAACTGGAATAATCAATTAGTTAATTAGGCGTTAAATGATATTATAAGAAGAAATATACAAAACAAATAATTCAATCACCTGCGCTATACCAAAGAGTGGAGCAATTACAATCATCCTGCACAGTGCTCCCTTTAAGAATGCGCTAGGGCCCTCGTTCTTGTAGATTTTTCTAAAAAACAGTTTTCATAAGTAGATTCTATTACATATTTGTACATATTGTGTAGTATACAGTAGATTCTAATAGGTCAAAAATACACTAGATTCTACTACATTCTTCTACCCTCTATAGTCAACAAAAATACAGTAGATTCCACAACAGTGTTAAAACAGACTTCTACAGAAAATGTAAGAAATTGAGTAGATTCTACTGAAGTTTATTACTAGCACTGTAAAGAATCTTAAATGCGTCAGGTATCCCAGAATAAACTTACTTAAATGCGTTTTCTATCCATGAATATACAAATTACTTAAATAAATAATGCGTCAGCTAACCCCGAATATTCAACTTACTTAAATGCGTCAGCTATTCCTGATTATACAACTTACTTAAGTTAAATGCGTCAGCTATGCCTGAATATAAAACTTACCTAAATGCGTCAGCTATTCCTGAATAAGATTCCTCTGCTGCTCCCTTGTTAAGGAGCTGTAATCTGGTTTTCACAACGTCTGCTGGGTTTACTACAGCAGCTGAGATAGAACCAGCAGACATACCTAAATAAAAAATATTGAAATAATAAAAAATCAGAATTTTTTTTAATAATTTTAATTTTGATTAAAAAAACGCAGAAAAGGTAGAAATATAAAAGCTACTAGGGTCATTTTCGAAAAATGTGTTTAACTTGTGGACAAAAGCTCCATCAAGTAAATTCCAAAAATAAAACTTTGCATAATATTAAATAAATTAAAGAGAATCGATAAATTTTTTTTTACGAAAATTAGATGATGCACATTAGGGTGACCCAAATCACCCTTATAAATTTTTTTTTTCACCCAGGCTTAAGTGGTTCCATACACATACAAGTGTTCTTAAAATTTTTTTAAGATGTCTAGGGAGCCATTAACAGCTACATGTAAACATCGAAATAATGCTGAAAGAATATACCTTGTTACACTGTGAAAGTTTGCTCGCTTAAAAACCAGTTTTCCAATTAGACCTCTTAAGAGTTGAACTGCTACCTGAGCAATGAACTATCTACCTAATTCACCTTAACTATGAACTATCTACCTAACTGACCCCTTAGATATGAACTTTCTACCTGATTGACTTCCCAGTTATGAACTACTACCTGATTGACCCCCCAGCCCTGAACTATCTACCTAAGTGACTTCCTAGATATAAACTACTACCTGATTGGCCCTCTTGATATGAATTGATTCCTGATTGACCCCCCTAGCTCTTAACTATCTACCTGATTGACCCCCTAGCTATTACCTGCTACCTGATTGACCTCCTAGTTACAAACTATCAACTTGATTGACCCTCAAGTTCGTATCTATCTACTTGATTGACCCTCTAGATATGAATTGAATCCTGATTTGACCCTCTTGCTATGAAATGCTACCTGATTGACCTCCTAGTTACAAACTATCTACTTGATTGAACCCCAAGCTCAGATCTATCTACCTGATTGACCCTTTGCTCTGAACTGCTACCTAAATGACCCCCTAGCTCTGAAATATCTACCTGATTGACCCCCTAGCTATAAATTACTTCCTGATTAACCTCCTAGCCATAAACTTTCGACCTAATTGAGCACTTAACTATGAACTACCAGATTGACACCCTAGCTATGAACTGTCTACCTGATTGACCTCCTTGCTATCAATCTACCTTATTGACCACCTAGCAATCAACTGCTACCTGTTTGACCTCTTAGGTATGAGCTACCTTGATTTACCTCCTAGCTATCTATTAACGGCTTTGATTATCAGGACCAACCCCTGTATGTGCTATTTGTGGTTTGTGAATGTGAACATAGAGCTGATCAAAAAAATCCCACAATGAGAACATAAATTGCTTAAGCCTAGAAGTACCTGATACCAGTACACTTATTGCCCGATATGATTTCTTCATGTAAAAAAGTAAATTCAACTATTATGGTTAAACTAATAAATATAGTTTAATTGAATTTTAAAATCGAGCCTCGTTGCGGCAACACTCCATTTTTATATATAGCTGACCCCGATAAGATAAAGGCACAATTTTCTTGGGGGTTCTCTACATATCCCCTGTAACCATTTGAGACTGGGTGCATGTTCAAATTACACAGATGTGGGTCACCCTAATGCACATCACACTCATCGAATGAATCGAGGTAAATAGATAAAACCACAACAGAGTTTATGCATATAGTAAAAAAAACATTTTGTAATATGTAGAATTCTATAAAATAATATTTCAGTCTCAATATTGGTTAGGTATTTACCTGAAACGAATGACCACCAGAACACTGCTTCATTAGAATCAGGACTTTTCCTGAAGAATAATACAAATAAATCTAAAACAAAAACCAAGCTAACAAAAATGTGGCAAAAAAATAATAAAATAAAACCATATTTTAAATAAGTATCACTGAAATGCCTTAAATATGCTGTGCATGTATGGTTTTAAGTGGAAACACTTTCTTTTCAAATTAAAAATAACTTAAAACTTATAAAATCTCAAAGGTTGCCTAATTAACAAACAATCAAACTAAAGATTAAAAATTTTAAATTAGTTTCTTTTTTATTACTTTTATTTACAAGTCCGTTTTCAATTGAAAGATTGAACATATTTCCCTTTAAATAGGTAACCAACTGAATGCCTAACGTTTAATAAGAGAGAAAAACGAGTTAAAGCTAAATAAAGCTGAATATAGATACGACCGGTATTATGCGACGATAGTTCCCTCTCTGCCGATGCTAGTAACTTGTTCTATGTATTCCTTTTAAAATAAAATTATCATTTGCATATTTTGATATTCTAATATTGCGAGGGGAACAGATGTCTCAGGAAACTTTTTGGATCAATGTGAATTGTTCCATCCCCTTGAATCTATGTTTGAAAGGTCTACCTACTATTATTGTCTTTCAACCTGCAGACATTGTATATTGACCTGCAGGCTACAATACAGTGATAACAGGGTTAATCTCCGCTACTGCCCACATGGGATCAGTGGTTCAGAGCTCTGGCCTGAATCTTATTATTGAGTTCAGAAATTATAAAATATAAGGTTTACCTAGGTCCCATTCTGTTGAGGTTGGCGAACAGAGGGAAGTAAACCATGGAGAAACTAACATCTCGTAGCATAGTTGCAGACGTTCCACGATACAAACCCAGGATTCCCTAAAATCAATTCTTCATTTAATTAATCATTTCATCAATTAATCAATTTATCGATCCATGGACACTCACAAAATCAATCAAATATTACAATTAATTATCAGTCAATCTGTCATCAAAATTAATACATGAGCGATCAATCCACTAATGGACCAAATAAGAAGGCTACATGAGAAACTTGTAAATCTATTAACGTTCAAGTATTCTAAATGAACAGGAACCAAATATAAAAACTAACCTTAGATTTGAGTAATTCCATTGTGATGGATAAAGCAGATATCTTTGGCAGATGAGCGGTAGACTGAACAATAAACATATAATAGCAATAGATTTTAGTTAAGCAAAGAACAGAAAAATATTTACAGACAGTAAGACTTTACACTATACATACAGGGTGTCCCAATAAACATGGGAATTCAGTGACGAATTCGATATCGTCTTTTCAAACAATTCTTTGATTTAGTATAGTGATACCTACCGAGAAAGCTGTAATCTGTAAGAGTTTCGTCTGCTATGTTCACATTTTGTTTGTTTATGTTTTGACTGCATTTAAGGGTGTACTGAGTAAATCAAGAAAATTGCAATATACAAACAGAGTAAACTTGTCCGTCTTCACTGTTCATCTTGCGGAGACATTATAGACAAATCTTTACAGTCTTTTACCCTTTTCATAATGCTAATTCATAACAAAGACGATATCGAATTCGTCACTGAATTCCCATGTTTTTTGGGACACCCTGTACAGTATACAGTATTCAGTGCATCGATGTAGTCATTAGTCGAGTTTTCAATATGTGAACTTTAGTTGTGAACAATATATATTGTTCAAGATAAGTATACTTTAGTTGTGAACAATATATTGTTCAAGATAAGTATACTTTATTGTGAACAATATATATTGTTCAAGATAAGTATACTTTATTGTGGTTTGAGAATAGAGCACTGAATGTTACCTTGACGCCAGTTTGTCTGAATCAATATTAAAACTTAAGGGTCTGATTGCTACTCTTTCATTCAAAAATGTAGGGAATAAAAACATCCTTGAAAACAGACCCCTCACTCCACTGTAAACTATGGTTCATTTTAAGTGCCCGACCGGGAACGGGACAGTACACCAACTGACATACAGGAAAAAGTAGAATTTTCCTGGCGACAAAGGCTGACAATTATGCAGGCTGAGCTATGCAAAACTCTTTTTACAATTACAATTTTCGAAAACATCTAATAGAGATATAAATCGACAAAAAAACACTGAGTAATTAACTATAAATTGCTTTGTATTGATGATAAATTACCTGTCCAGCAGCCTTGAGTTGAGCCGCTACACGTCCTGCATCCTGCAGCTGGATTTTCAGCAACTCCATAGGGGTCGTGATCACGATCTGAACAATTTATTTTTTAAATTAAAATTAGTTAATTTTTGGAAGGATCTGCTGAGTGTACCGTGAACGTTTTTAGTTTTAAGTTGTCTTAAAATGTTCAAGACTATTTATCTAGTTATCCAAACTCTAAAATAATAATCAAATTTCAAAATTAGATGAGAAAACTGGATGAGAAAACTGGATGAGAAAACTGGATGAGAAAACTGGATGAGAAAACTGGATGAGAAAACTGGATGAGAAAACTGGATGAGAAAATTGGATGAGAAAAGTTTAGTTTCAATTAACTATGATCCACAATAGTTTTAATCTGACAGAAGAAAAAATGTAAAAGCAAAACAGACCAATCATTTCATTGATAATGAAATTATAATTTCGTTTCGTTTTGGCTTGTTTTTGTATGCTTAAAACGTGCATAATAACCTGACAAAGTTCTGCACTACTCTCTCTAACCAACCTGACAAAGTCCTGCACTACTCTCTCTAACCAACCTGACAAAGTCCTGCACTACTATCTCTAACTAACCTAACAAAGTCCTGCACTACTATCTCTAACTAACCCAACAAAGTCCTGCACTACTATCTCTAACTAACCTGACAAAGTCCTGCACTACTATCTCTAACCAACCTGACAAAGTCCCGCACTTCTATCTCTAACTAACCTGACAAAGTCCTGCACTGCCTCCGGCCAACATCTCCCTTGATACCGGTAGTTTACCGTCAGGTCGGGTTAACCTATCAAATAATACATAAAATATTTTAAATAATTTTTAAAATATTTAAATTATTTTTCAGTTTTTGATTTTTAAGATAGACAGTCTACTTCTAGGGTAAAATGATTTTTCATTCTTTGTATTATGCTTCATTCTGAAAATATATTAATAAAACAAAAGGTTTCGAAAAGAAAACGAACTTCAGGCTGATAATTGATTTTTTAGATTTAACGTCATTGCGAAAGAGTTTATGGTACAAAGCAAAACAAATTTATTTTTTACATTTATGAACAAGGGATCATAATTTGAACTATAATGATTATGATAATGTTACCTATGTCTAAAGTAATCATTGGCCGCCAGCTTGATCGCTTTCTCAGGGGTAATCAGAAGTATATTCACTAATCACAAAAATAATTATATCGGGTTAAGTTTAAATATTGGGTGATTTCTTAAAAAAAATAAAACATTCAAAACCAATCTAAGTAAAACTGATTCCCAACTGGATTCCAACCAATCTTTTTTTTGGATGAAAACGGAGATTTAAGCTCTGATTACATTTATGTAATGTACGTGTATGTACTATACAATTATGTACCTGCTGAACCTCTGTACATGCCAAAGTATCCCTCTGCCTTGTATGTTTTCTTGAAACAGTCCAGCATACTGCTGTACAATTTCTCTCCATTAGGCCCCACCTAATCAAATCAAATAATGTAGTTTTTATTAATAAAAAAACTTGTATTTTTTCTGAGTTTTTTTTTATATCTTTCAGTGAAGGTAACAGTGCATTACTATCCTTTTAAACGTAGCTTTTAAGGGTTTTAACACTGATATTTTCTTAAGAACAATGTGTTGAATTAAAATAAGATTTCCAAAAATAATCCATTTTCTAAACAAGGACCAAGCATCCAAAGAAACATCTTACAAAAAAATTGGAACTTATATCTAATTTTATTTTTATTTTTAAATTGTTTTTAATTATTTTCTTTTTTATATATTGCGTTTATGTTGCCTGAGACCGTCAAGTATTTTTACCTTTTGGTTCTGAAGCCTTGTCTTGACAAGATCCAAGGGAAATACACAGGTTACACCTAAACCAATCAGGTTGATAAAAGAAAAAAACATGGAAATACTTTTTCCAAATCTTGGCGACTAACAAACTTGAATAAGTTCTTAAGTTAAAATAAACATATTTACCAATAATTCCTGCAATTCCACCATTCATGATTTTGGGAAGAAGAGCAAACTGCTGCACAGGAACCTAAACAAAAATAACTTTAAAAGCTTTAAGACAAGGAAAAATGACGAATTATCTAAAAATTACAAAAAATATCAATTATCGAAGATAAAAGGTTCGATTAAAATATATTTATCTAATGAGATGAAAATATATTTATCTAATGAGATGAAAATATATTTATCTAATGAGATGAAAAGGTCGGAGAAAATATCAGAAATATATTCCAACAAAACTACGAAGAAGAAATTTAGACAAACACAACAAATTTTCCGGTTTGTTCTGGTCGTAATCAAACATTATTGACATAAGTTCGTTAATTAGATCGACCCCTACCACCACTTTATACACATACATCTAAACAGTTAGTTTTTAATCTTTGTGACAGAGACAATCTCAAGGAATAATTGTCTTAAAACATTTTTTTTTAAAAGTGAATATTTGCAAATTATCTTTTTTCTATCTCATAATCTGAGTTCGTTTCCCGTATGTCCATTTGACAGCCCAAATTTTTATTTTGAATAATCGTTTTTGTTTGTTTATTTTCTTGTGATTTTTAACAATTTTTAATTTTTTTATCGATTTTGATGGTTATTTTATCGTTAGAACAGACGAGAGTCAACCCAGACCGAAACATATTTTCAATAAATGTGGAACTAACATCTACTTTTTACCCTACAGAGGTTTGGTCCATCACCATCACCAAATTAAAAAAAAATGATTAGCCTCGACTTAAACAAACGTAGCTTGACACAAAATAATGTTGGCAAACAGCATTGTTGACAAAATGATTACGATTACGATTTTGTTCACAATTCAACAAAGCAAATTATCAAAACAGAAAAATTTAACGGAAATGTTTTACCTGTGTTTTAATTTCTACTGCCTTAGTTGCCATTATAGAGATTCTTATTTCTTCTTCGTCTAAAATTTCCTAGAAAAGCAAGAGTATTAATAATCTGAATTCTACACGTTAAAAGAGAACAAATTGTGGCACAAACAAGAAACAAACAGTGGGGGAGGTATAAAACTCATGAATAAAGATACAGTGAGACCCACAAAACTATGAAAAAGGAAGACGATTGTTAAGTTATGATTATAAATAATCCAATTAACAAATAACTTTGCAAAAGGGCACTTGCAGTGTGTCTGTGCATTGACAAATTTCACGTTTCTTGTTGATTTTTCAGCTACTGGCACTTGGAAAGTTATTTTCTTTACAAAAATATTAAAGGCAAATAATATTGGATAACTGTCGTCTTTATATTCCACAGTTTTAAGGGTATCACCGTATACAAAGAACGAGAAGGAAATTTAAGAATGATTAAAAAACGTTGAACTAGATGCAGCTGGTTCAAAACTTTCAGGCAGATATAAACTTGTTGGTTCAATCTTCAACTCTAACCAGTAGTTGAATACGGTTTATTTTATTCATAAAGCTTCAACTCTAACCAGTAGTTGAATACGGTTTATTTTATTCATAAAGTTTCCAACACGTGTAGTTTAAAGAGTACGTGAGGAAATAAATTAATTAAATTTCAACTATCTGTAATACGGGATAAAAGCCAATCAATATTTATGGATATTTGTAAGTAAGACTGAATTAAGTATAAATGAAACTGAAGTATGTATATGTCTCTAAATACTGTTCAGTTTAGTATGCCGGGGGTAACTTGATAAACTGGTTTCTTTCTGCATAGGGCACAGTATACTACATTAGGGGGGACATAGTAACAAAATCTGGAGACAGAGGATACATATTAAAAAGATCAGAAGACAAAAGCATACATTTTAACAAGATCAGATGACAAGAGGATACATTATAACAAGATCAGATGAAAAGAGGATTCATAATAACAAAATTAGGAGACAGGGGATACAAAATAACATGATGAGGATAGAAGTGGATACATAATAACAAGATGAGAAGACAGCGGATACATAATTACAAGATGATGAGACAAGAGGATACATAATTACAAGATGATGAGACAAGAGGATACATAAAACCAAGATTAGGAGACAGAGGAATAGGATACATAATAACATATTGAGGAGACAAGAGGATACATAATAAGATGAGGAGACAGATATTACATTATAACAAGATCAGAAGACAATAGGATACATAATAACATATTGAGGAGACAAGAGGATACATAATAAGATGAGGAGACAGAGGATACATTATAACAAGATCAGAAGACAATAAGATACAAAATAACAAGATGAGGAGACAGAGGATACATAATAACAAGATGAGGAGACAGAGGATACATAATAACTTGATGAGGAGACAGAGAATACATAATAACAACATGAGGAGACAGAGGATACATAATAACAAGATGAGGAGACAGAGGATACATAATAACAAGATGAGGAGACAGAGGATACATAATAACAAGATGAGGAGACAGAGGATACATAATAACAAGATGATGAGACAGAGGATACATAATAACAAGATCAGGAGACGGAGTATACATTATAACAAGATTAGGAGACAAGAGGATACATATTAACAAGGTCAGAAGACAAAATAAACATTATAATATGATCAGGAGACAGAACAGACAAGATGATCTGATGAAATCAAAACAAAAAATAAAGAAAATAGACAAACTCAAAAGAATATCTAAAAAAATACTGATTTAACTATGTGAAAACTAAAACTATGAGTTGACAGTTAGGCATTGAAATCGAAATAATAATTTTTGCTATTACCTAGAAAGAAAGGATTCTTAGTCAACCAAGCCAAACTTCTTAAAAGATTTTTTATCTGAAAAGCAAAGAGACATAAAATATAAACTCAATTATTAACTTAAAATAATCACACAGTTTTATTATAGATCACAATTCATGTTACGTCTCATAGAAAATCTGACAGAAAACAGAACCAGAAAATACAATTTAAGAAAAGCATAAAAGATTTTCTGTCTGAATGTTTGTTTTGTACAATGTATATAACTAAGCGTATGTTAAAGCGTGTATGTACTGAGTAGTTTCCTGTCTGCACCCTGGAGAAACTAAAAACGTCAGATTTAGGCAAGATGCCATCTACTCAAGTTCAAATATAATCCAACAGACAATATATAATCTTATTTCATTCACGTGGATCTGTTTACTTTTAAATCTAGGAGACAAGGTAAACTGGCAGGAAAGTAAAAGTTGCGGTTTATCAAAATTGTTGATTTTGATTAAACTTTGTATTAATTTGATAAGATTTAACCCTGTCAGAGGCAGATGAATAATATAGAGAAAACAGGTAACAGGTGTATATACAATATATTAGATCGAAGGGGTGTACTATAACCAAATTTTTCCTCTTCTGAAGAAATGTTTCTTAAAATTATCAGAAACAAATTAAACTTATATTTTAAAAATCTCAATTGTAATTTTCAATTGTTTCTTGCGCATTCTACTGAAGGAAAACAATATAGCAATTATTACAATTAAACACTTTTCAACTTAGAAAAACTACTGTATCTTCCAGTCAAACAGATCTGGCCATCTCCCCCCCCCCCTTTTAAACGACAGTCCTCTAATGCGAAGTGAATGCTAGAATAGCAATGATTCTGCTAATGATGAGACAGTAAAAAAGGCAGAAAACAAGAATTGATTTGTACTTTTATACCTTCAATGCAAATATTTCTTTGGTTTGGTTTAATAGTTTAAATAAAAAATATAATTTGAAAAAAATTAAAATAAAAATAAAATACAATAAAAATATAAAAATCCCCCTGGATGGGTATTGTTAAGTATGAATCCCTGTGTGTATCCTAGAACTTGAATTTATATCATGACCGGACAGGGAGGGGGAGGGGGGGGGAGGGTAGAAAATCTGGAAAGCTGCAAGGACAGAATAAAACGCTTCAATTCTTACAAAAATGCATTAACAGTCATTATTCAAACATTCACATTCAATATTGACAAATTGACACAATTTAGAAGTACATATTATATGGTTGGTTTTAATGAATAATTAACCCACTCACGTAAAAATATCAAGATCTTTTAAAATAATTTTCAATTTTATTATTTTTTAACCTAGGTTTCTTCAATCCGTCTTCCCTCTGTTTTGCTTCTAATTTCCTCTTCTTCCCACCCTCTTCCTCTTCCAGTAGATGATTTATCTCAGTTTTATTCAAGCACTCATCTATATGAGTGTTTAACCCACTCTCTTCCTTAAACCTAGCTGAGAAACAAACTGGGCAAACATACTCTAGAGGTTGTTGCCTGACATCGATTATTGCTGAATCATTTTCACTTTCTAAACTATTAACATTCATTTCATTAGATTTTAAAATAGAAATATCACTTAAACTATGATTCTCAGAAGAAATAATTTGATAATTCTCATGAGCTGTCACAGAATGCGGTATAGTTCCATGCTGATGGTTATCTACAGATATTTCTCTGCTTTCAGCTGATTTATCTTCAAGCTTAAACTTATCCTTGCAGGGCTCTGCATCTACACCATCTAAAGAAAACTTAATGTAAAAATCTCAAGAGACTTTTTTTTTCATTTTTCGTCCTGAGAAAAAAACATGTTTTTTGTCCAAAACACTTATTTAATAACTACTAGAGCGCTTTACGCCCTCTTTCCTATAAAAAGTTTTCATTTTGAACTGTGAAAGTTCACTTTTAACCGTTCTGAAATTTTCGCGGAATTTTCTGTTTTATTGATGCATTTCAATGTTTTATTGATGTATTTTCAATGTTTTATTGATGCATTTTCAATGTTTTATTGATGATTTTCAAAAAATTATTGATTTCAAAATATTTTAAGGGCAAAACTTTTCATTTTTTACTAACCATAAACCTTCCCTGGGGTCATGTAATTCACCTTAAAAATGTAAGGCTTGATCGGTTCAGCCGTTTTTACGTTTGTTGGATACAAACACACGAACGACAGACAAGCAAAGTATATTAATAAAATATTCTAAAAAACTAAAGGGTTCAGTCTTAAATGAGATTAGAAGTTTAAATATTTAAAATCATGAAATTGGAATCTTTTAATTTAATTTTAGAGAAAACGTGGCTTACCTAGAAATTCTGTTTGATAAGAAGAATTAGAACAGCAGGTATCAACATGTATATTCAGTTTCTCTAATCCATCAATATATTCAAGACAGATTGGACATTCGTATAGTTTTTCTTCTTTTAGATTTAAACATGATTCCTCATCTTTCACAATTTCATTTTCCTTCGTTCTAGATATATCTTGGACCTCGGCAGCGACAGGTTTGATTTGGTTGAAAAATGAAGAAATAGAACTCTGTTTGGATTTTATTTCATTCTTGTTCTTTAAATCCGACATCCTGAAATTAATGAAATAAATATGCAATGACCGAATCTAGAAAAATAATTTTAAGTTCAAAACTAATGACATTTTGAAGCAAAAATACTTCCTATACCTGACTCCCATGAGCCGAAGTACAAGAGGTTGCTGTTGTTGCAGTTCAGCGCTCTCAAGAAGACTCACAAGGAGCTGTCGTGCACAGCTGTAGATTATATCCGCCTCATTTGTCGGCGCTGTCAGCTGTCTAACCTAGAGATTCTATAATTTAGTAAAATCTTTTATTTTTATTTCTTGAAAGAATCTTAAAGCTAACCTTAGTCTTTGTATAAAAGTCATGAGATTTAATCTTTATAGTTACAGCCTGTCCGAATATTTCTTCTCGTTTCATTTCCTCAGCTAATTCATTAGATAGATCCTCACATAAACCTTAACATTAAAGGGATTAAAGGTTTTTTAGGGGAAATCTTAGTTGACTAGTTGTACATTGGAAATAGTAAGACATTAACATTTCAACAGGATGTTGACTGTTTAATTTGTTATTGCTTTCTGATTTCTACGTTGAATACAATAAGTGTCGTGAAGAAAAATATCTTAAGATGAATTAGCTAGAACTACGCCAGTTAAACCCCCCCACAGTAAAAAGAAAAATAAACCCTGAAAAAAAGTGGAAAAATTATCACTTTTTAAAGGAACCGACCTAAAAACAATCCAACCTAATATATCGAGAAGTTTATACTCAAATATCGAGTAGTTTTCCATCCCCGCGTATTTTTACGGATTTAAGTCGACTCCCCATTACAATTGAACGTCTAACTAACCCCCATCCAACTCCACCTACCCGACATAACCTTAACCAATATCCAATACCCATCCTTGAAATCAAATACAAAAGAAAACCCTTGTGTCAGAAAACAGCTCTAGCTCAGTTTCTGATGAGCAGTTACCAACAGAGGTAATGTTACATCATCTATAAGCAACATCCCCCTACTGAACTTCTGACCAACTAACTTTCCGACCTACTGCAATATCGGACCTACACCAGCTGTTTATTTTTTTATTCTTTGAGAGTTAGGTAGGTTAAGACAATTTATGGGCCGAGCGCTGCGGCTAGGATAGACTAGAGGACCGGGCGCTGCGGCCACAAGTCCATTTAGCAGCTGTAAAACCACGTGCTAGTAGGTTAGATGTGTAGGATAGCGGATTTGGCGTAGGTCAGAAGTGGAGTATAGCGGATTTGCGTAGGTCGAAAAATACACCATCCCAACAGAATTACCAAAATAAAGCCGACATTCATTATTGTCGTTAAACCGGTCTAAACCTTTGTCTTCAACAATAACAATTTCAATCGTCCTGAACTTATTTATATTATTGGAATAAGTGTCCTACCTATTAGAATGTTTCTATCTGAAGTCTCCTTGAATGTGGTTTCGTTACTCATTGATTTTCTTAATCTGTCCTCTCGAGGTTCCAGCCTAGTTCCTCCTATTCCCTGAATAATAATCTTCTAGAAAGGATGCTGAGTGTTTCGACAGATCATATGATAGAGAAACTGTACACTCGGGGATATATCTCCTGTAGTGTTGTATCGAATCATGTATATATATTATATATATTTTCGACGAAACAAATATTACAATATCAAGATCATGTGATCTTAGACGATTGTTAAAATTGAAAAGGGAATTACACAAAAGATTTAGTTTTTTCTTTCAATTTATTACTGAGATCTTGTATCAATTCTGAACTATAATATTCTGAAATACTCAGATATTTTATAAACGGATTTCAAAATTTACTACTTTTTCACCATTCTGTAAATTTTCCGAAACAAAGACTAATTTTTCCCCACCCTGTATGTAGTACATACATACATACATTTGTTACCTGAGATATTTGCATATAATTTTCAAAGCTCAACTGAGAAAAAAGAAGTTTGATCTCCCCTCGCTTTAGATAAAGATCACCGCAAGTATTAACACCTTTAATTAAAAATGTCATTGAAAAAAACTTTAAGTAAAAGTTAATTCACAATTTTAAAGAATAACAGGAATCAACTTTTTTTTTCATGAATAAATAACATCAAGAAGAATGACATATCATTTCCTAAAGATTTCAGCAGTTGCTCTTGAACATTCCCGATTCCTGATGCTTTCCTGATTGGTAGTTTGTTTACAAACTCTAGAATATCTGCATGATTTGCCGGCAGTACATATTGTCCGTTAGGTTTGTTTATATCGGAGCAGACCTATGTAATAAATAAGTATTAAGGAATTATTCAATTTTTTGAATTATTCAATTTTTTTGAAATACACTTATTGCCAAAATTTAAAGAAACTAGGCGCTCACTCTTAAACTCTTAACTTTGAACTATTGATCTTTAATCGATTTTTTTTGTTGATCTTACAAAATGCGATCCCTGGGTGGTCATGTGAGTTGCCTCAAAATGTCGGGGTTGATCACTTCAGCCATTTTGACGTTTATTGGATACAAACAAACGGACAAGCAACGTATAGATTATAAATACAACTAAGTCAACATTGAAAAAGCAAGTTTTCATTTCTCACATTTTATAACAACTTTATCATGAATGATCTTTAACTACTGATTATTTTCTAGAAATATTTTACCTTGGCAAGAAAAGTATTAGAAGCTATTCCCGCACTAGCTGTTAGTTGAGTTCTTTCCTCTATTTTACTGCGCATTTCCTGAAATACTGGCTGTTAGTTGAGTTCTTTCCTTTATTTTACTGCGCATTTCCTGAAATACTAGCTATAAGTTGAGTTCTTTCCTCTATTTTACTGATCATTTCCTGAAATACTGGTTGTTAGTTGAGGTCTTTCCTATATTTTACTGCGCATTTCCTGAAATAATGGCTGTTAGTTGAGTTCTTTCCTCTATTTTACTGCATATTTCCTGAAATACTAGCTGTTAGTTGAGTTTTTTCCTCTATTTTACTGTGCATTTCCTGAAATACTAGCTGTTAGTTGAGTTCTTTCCTCTATTTTACTGCGCATTTCCTGAAATACTGGCTGTTAGTTGAGTTATTTCCTTTATTTTACTGCGCATTTCCTGAAATAAAAGCTATAAGTTGAGTTCTTTCCTCTATTTTACTGCGTATTTCCTGAAATACTTGCTGTTAGTTGAGATCTTTCCTCTATTTTACTGCGCATTTCCTGAAATACTAGCTATTAGTTGAGTTCTTTCCTCTATTTTACTGCGTATTTCCTGAAATACTTGCTGTTAGTTGAGATCTTTCCTCTATTTTACTGCGTATTTCTTGAAGTGCTAGCTGCTAGTTCAGTTCTTTACTATATTTTATTTTTGCATTTTGTTAAATACTAGCTGTTAGTTGAGTTCTTTTCTCTATTTTACTACGTATTTATTGAAATACTAGCTGTTAGATAGGTTCTTTTTTCTATTTGACACATTTTCCTGAAATACTAGCGGTTAAGTTCTTTCCTCTATTTTACTGCGTATTTCCTGAAATATTACTTTGGTTGAGTTCTTTAATCTATCAACCACCATTTCTTGAAATACTATTTGTTGGTTAAATTCTTGCTTCTATTGAATACGCATTTTTTTAACACTAGTTTTTAATTGAGTTTTTTGTCCATTTTTACCGCGCATTTGACGCTTTATCTATGCGAAAAATTCTTACAAAACCGAATCAATAAAAAATGAAAAAAGTGCCTTTCAAAAATAGTAACCCACCATTCCCTCATTTTCTTCGTAACAGAACTACCTGAACAACGTCCCAAGAGTTTGAACCATGAAGCTCAAGGTATTCTGTAATATCCATATACGCTTCGTCTAAAGACATTGGTGCAAAGTTCTCATCATACTCTCTGACATTATTATAAATATTAATAATTAATATAAATTGAAGTTTTTTAATTTTATTATTAATTAACATTTAAATAATACCTGAAAACTTCCCTTACAACCTGCGAGACTGCCGCGTACTTCTGCATATTAACAGGAACTATCACTAGTTCTGGACACAACTTCTTGCCAATAAATCCTGATCAAATATCACAGCTCATTTTCTTTGTTTCATTCCGAAACCAGAAAAAATTTAGAATATAATAACCAAAAGGCAATAGAAAAGTCAAATAAAAGTAAAACTCCAGCTAAATATATCTTTTAATATTTCAGTTTTTAACTTCACATTTTTTATTAAAAAAGAATTATACTTAACATAATGTTTCACGCCATCATGACGATCCTCAGTAGTTACAATTCTTTTAATATATATCTTTACGAAATTGAACACATTTTCTGAAAACACGAAACACTCCTAAACCTGGCATAGCTGCTCTGACCCCAAATTTTCTGGCCGCATAATTTGAAGTTGAAAGCATTCCCATTCCTCCAACTGCCATAGGTTTATTTCTGAAGGTTATACATTTAGGAACCTATCATTGGACATTTGTATTCACTTAAATTATAAAAAATACGAAAAATGTGCGTCCTATTCTTATCCTCGTGTCAGATTATGAGGACGCACAAATATATTGATATGGATTTCGAAGAAGGATGTTAAGGTACTAAATGTTCCTAAGGGTCGGATTATCTCTCATCTCTACAGCCGCATAGAACATATCCATATCCACATGTACTAGAGTTCTACATTCACAAGTCTTAGAAGATTAAGTTGATTATTCATTTGTTTTGTATGGATAGGGGAGATATGGCTGCAGCGACATATTTATGTAAAATTATGTTTTTATTTTGAATCTTTAATCCGTATTGTTTTCTAAGAATTAGTTCTAGTTAAAAAATTCGTGAAAATCCTTTTAAAAAATCTTGCTACAAGACTTGTTCTGTTTCCTAGTAAGATCGATGTTATCTAGTAGGTTCTGAATATAGAGATCAGCTTCATGTTGTGCTGAGAGTAGCTGGGTAGGGGTCAACCTAAGCATTCTCTCCTGTAAACCAGCTATCTGTCCATCTATCCTATATATTCAAGCATTTATATATTGAATAGCAACCCAGCATTAGTGTCATCTTTGATCAATCCAAAGGTCGGAACTTATGCTGGATCTCGATATCCAACGTGGACACATTTAAAGTTGAGGACAAAAGCTTGATCCCTGTTATCCCTAAAGGGTGTGATTTCATGTCCATCTATCCCTTATCTACCAAATACTTGTTGGATTGGATAGAAAGTATTGAAACTTAGCAATACCCGATCCCTATCATAGAGTTCAACTAACTATTCTAAATCTTTGTATAGGCTGTTCAGTGTTTAGTAAACTTGCAACCACTATCATTAGTTTCATTATCCTTTTCAAAGTTAAGGAGGGAAAAAGACATTACATTTACTCCTAATAAAACCAACTAAGCCATATCCTGTAAACAAACAAACAAACAATCAATCAACCATCATTCCGTAGAAGTCAGGGCTGAGACCTCATCAAAAATAGCCACAATGGCTATTAATGTACCAATTGGTGACACACTGTCTAGTGTGGCCAACTGTCGAAGTACAGACCAATGACTTAAGCCACCGTAGTGGTAAAATGCTATCCCGAAATCCCTACGCACACATGAGCAAACAAGGACCACGTGAGACTCTACTAGCCTGGCACGGACACCTTCAGAAAGACACCAGGGGCAAAAAACGTGGATACAGCCGTATTACAAACAGGGTCATATAGATCCAGGCAGAAATGAAAATTATGCATCAACTTTCAAGTCCAAGTCGACTTTGAAGTATCGCCAGGCCTTTGCCGTCACTTGACCAAACAACCCACTTTATAGCTTTCTGTAGCCCTGGACATATACAGTAAACATTAAAAAGCGCTTACTTCAATCTAAAGTAAAGAATCCCAACAGAACGAGAAAACTTTCAAGTTCAGAGTTGGGTCTATCATCTAAAAAGTAAAAGTCCGCGAATCACCTGGTTTGGTTCTCCTGTTGTTTACTGTAGAATTTAGACCCCTTGCTTGCAGCCTGGATTATTCTATTGATTTTATCCTTGTCCAGACCGGTCATACCAGCCTAAAATTTGAATAAAAATAAGAGGCCCATTAATTCTTCATTCGACCATTTAAAAAAACTTTTCTATTTGATGATAAAACAATTACTTAATCTTTTCCATTTAAAATCTACAAACTCGCAGTTGAAGCGGTTTCAGCAAGCAACTTTTAGATCTCTTCTATACGAAAAACGGTGGTAGAGTTGTTCGATTCCAGATGGAAACTGGGAAATTCCATCTTTTGTCAGATACATGGGTAAAAGGATACGGTTGTGAAAAGTTTAAAGCACTAACAAAAATATGTCCGACCATTTTTAGAAAATAATATTTCAAACAAAATTGTGTAACCTGATGAATTAATAAAATAAATATATTCATCAACCTCTTGAATCGTAATGAAAAATATTTTTTACATTGACAAAGGGTTGGCTACCTTGTTGTCATTTAGAGACATAAGGTTGATATTGCCAAGATCTTGCTTTGCAGCAGATCCAGTAGGTTCTTCAAGATCATCTCCAAGATCCTGTTTGATATGTTCATCAGAAACGTCTTTATCATGAGAAAAATTTGAACTAGATCCAAGTATCTTCTGATCCCCCATGACTATTGATCAAGATATATTCAGCAATTGATATTTAGTCTGAATAAACTAGACCCATCTTAGATAACAACACAGTATTATTCGTGTACACTGTATAGTGTATACTGTACAATCCAGTATCAAAATTTACATTTTAAATAATAATTCATCTGAAATTAATCAAAATCTTCACTTTTAAATACTAAGAACAGCTTAAACTTTTATCTTGTACTTTTATCTTTTATAATTGTAAGAGTTTGGTTTGAGCAGTTAAGTTGATCTGAAGGGCATTATTTAGCAGCTCCTGGCTCGAGGTTTAAGCAGTTCAGTTGATCTGAAGAGCATCATTTTGCAGCTCCTGGCTCAGGTTTGTCTGGAGATCACTCAGTTTTTTCTTTAAAATCGCCACACCCATCAGAACAATGTTTTCTACAAATTAGAAAGGTTAAAATCCTAATTCTTAGAATTAAGAATATTGGGATCTTGACAGTGGTATTGACAAGAACTATCCCCATTATTCATTTTTGATGCTCGGGGGAAAAATTTAAATCGGACATTTCATCCAAAAATTCTTTGGATTTAATTTTCCCTACAAAATCATCTATTTCCCCCAATATTATTTTCAAAAGGGAGGATTGGTTAAAAAATTCATGTATGGGGTACATGGTGACTGGTGAGTTGTACCCTTACAGGTGTGTTTAAAAAATTCAAGTTTTGGATTCAGGGTGTGTTAAAAATTTATTTTTAGGATACACTATCAGATGTATATCAAAAATTTAGATTAATAATTAAGGAGGATGTGTCAATAATATTTAGGTTTACGGTACACTAACAGTGAATGTTAAATTAAAGGTTGGTAAAATATAATCTGGATCTAACCTGAGCGCGTTGTCGGGGTCATATTCGAATGAAATTCCTGCAGTTGGATTCCACTTGGCGTGCTCCTTAGCAAATCCCTTCTTGGCGTAAGCGCGAACCTTGAGTTGCTGGCCCTTCCTACTCAACAACTTTATTAATATCATGCTCTGGGAGTGGTAAACAATTTAAACTTAAAGGTAGATTTTAGAAGTTTAACCCGCCATTTTTAAAATTTCTTCACTAGATATCAAATTCAGCAGCTGAATTCTTGGATTCAGCAACATATTCCTACAATACTGGATATCAAATTCATCAGCTGAATTCCTGGATTTAGCGGGATATCCAATACAAAATTCCCAGCTAAGTTGAAACTAGTATATAATTATCCTTCGGAAAGGTTTTTTTTATATAATTTGAAAATAAATTTAATTCAAATTCAATATAATATATTTATTGTTTGGCCTAAACTGGACGCAAATAACAAGTCACAAAAAGCCAAATGATGTGAAATAAGAAAACCCATTTTGCATAAAAAATCATAGTTTAAAATACTCGCAAATCATTAATAAGCATTTTCCTAAGTTTAACAATAAGAATATCATCACTGTCTCCGTAATCATTTGCTTCGTCCTCTCGTCCTCTGCTCGTCACTGGCTGGACCTGTCATAGTTTTGAAGGTAAAGTCACTTTAGTAGAGTATACACAATTGAAAATAATCAATTTCTAGCTAGATAAAATAAGGATGTTTCATTCAAAGTTGATCAAAAATGTGATTTTACGGTTGTGAATCAGACATGTCACTCTAAAAATGAAAGGCTACTTGAAACTACTTCTACAGTCCCTAAAATTTAAATTTCTAAATTCTACATCAGTGCAACTTTCGACATTTCAAACTTTAAATATTTTATCCAGCAGAATATATACTTAAAAATATCAATTAGGTTGCAAAGGTATAAAGTATCAGAAAATAAGAGTTTGCGGCAAGTACTCATTTTATTAATGACTGATAATAATGATCTTCTATATATAAATTTGGCTTGTCTGTCTGTTTGTAAATGTTCGTTTGTTTGTATTCCATAATCGCCAAAACGGCTGAACCGATCGGGCCCAAATTTTGTGTGGGACCTCACGTGACCCCAGGGAAAACCTGCTCAAAATTTTAAAAATTTGTGTTTATAAGTTTTTAATTTTTGTAAAATTTTGAAAATACGCAAAGAAATATTAAGAAAACCGCAAACTTTTTTGTTTTTGTTTCATACTGTACAAAGAGAAGATGCTCACAGATAAAGCCACAATTAAAAGTTGAAATAGAAGATGGGCGCGAAGCGCCTTAAAAGCCTAGCACTTATAAATAGTACAATTCATTTTGAATTTAGAATAGAATTAGATGTGTTAAGTTTTGTACTATCTATTGATGACCAAAACATCTTTTTTAAAATTAATTTGAAAAAATGTTAGTTTTTTCCGACCAATCGATTAATCAACCAACATTGTGAAATCTTTATTTTCGATCAAAACCGGTTTGCTAGGAAAGGGGGGGGGGGTAGATTTAAATATTTTGAGATGTCATAAAAATTTAGCTTGTTTATGTATTGAACAAACATTTGTGTTAAATGTAAGAAAATAATGTTGAATACCTTAGGGTCCCCTGACACGAGATCATCTGTTGTCACGTGTTTAGTTTGGTCCGAAGAACACGTGACATCAAGGGTAAACTCTACAGAACAGTCTTGACAGAAATCCATACACGTGCAGTCCCTTTATAAAAATGGGTGATTATAATCTATGTATCCCAAAGTTTTTACATTTGACTATTGACTATAACCGTCGAAAAATACACCATCCCAACAGAATTACCAAAATAAAGCCGACATTCATTATTGTCGTTAAACCGGTCTAAACCTTTGTCTTCAACAATAACAATTTCAATCGTCCTGAACTTATTTATATTATTGGAATAAGTGTCCTACCTATTAGAATGTTTCTATCTGAAGTCTCCTTGAATGTGGTTTCGTTACTCATTGATTTTCTTAATCTGTCCTCTCGAGGTTCCAGCCTAGTTCCTCCTATTCCCTGAATAATAATCTTCTAGAAAGGATGCTGAGTGTTTCGACAGATCATATGATAGAGAAACTGTACACTCGGGGATATATCTCCTGTAGTGTTGTATCGAATCATGTATATATATTATATATATTTTCGACGAAACAAATATTACAATATCAAGATCATGTGATCTTAGACGATTGTTAAAATTGAAAAGGGAATTACACAAAAGATTTAGTTTTTTCTTTCAATTTATTACTGAGATCTTGTATCAATTCTGAACTATAATATTCTGAAATACTCAGATATTTTATAAACGGATTTCAAAATTTACTACTTTTTCACCATTCTGTAAATTTTCCGAAACAAAGACTAATTTTTCCCCACCCTGTATGTAGTACATACATACATACATTTGTTACCTGAGATATTTGCATATAATTTTCAAAGCTCAACTGAGAAAAAAGAAGTTTGATCTCCCCTCGCTTTAGATAAAGATCACCGCAAGTATTAACACCTTTAATTAAAAATGTCATTGAAAAAAACTTTAAGTAAAAGTTAATTCACAATTTTAAAGAATAACAGGAATCAACTTTTTTTTTCATGAATAAATAACATCAAGAAGAATGACATATCATTTCCTAAAGATTTCAGCAGTTGCTCTTGAACATTCCCGATTCCTGATGCTTTCCTGATTGGTAGTTTGTTTACAAACTCTAGAATATCTGCATGATTTGCCGGCAGTACATATTGTCCGTTAGGTTTGTTTATATCGGAGCAGACCTATGTAATAAATAAGTATTAAGGAATTATTCAATTTTTTGAATTATTCAATTTTTTTGAAATACACTTATTGCCAAAATTTAAAGAAACTAGGCGCTCACTCTTAAACTCTTAACTTTGAACTATTGATCTTTAATCGATTTTTTTTGTTGATCTTACAAAATGCGATCCCTGGGTGGTCATGTGAGTTGCCTCAAAATGTCGGGGTTGATCACTTCAGCCATTTTGACGTTTATTGGATACAAACAAACGGACAAGCAACGTATAGATTATAAATACAACTAAGTCAACATTGAAAAAGCAAGTTTTCATTTCTCACATTTTATAACAACTTTATCATGAATGATCTTTAACTACTGATTATTTTCTAGAAATATTTTACCTTGGCAAGAAAAGTATTAGAAGCTATTCCCGCACTAGCTGTTAGTTGAGTTCTTTCCTCTATTTTACTGCGCATTTCCTGAAATACTGGCTGTTAGTTGAGTTCTTTCCTTTATTTTACTGCGCATTTCCTGAAATACTAGCTATAAGTTGAGTTCTTTCCTCTATTTTACTGTGGGGAATAACTGGTACGTACGGCGGATCTTGAAGGAAAGAAATTAAAATATTTTGAAGAAAATTGGGATTAAGTCGTTTAAGCTTATTTCCACACATTTAAAAAAATTTCTCTAAATAAAAAATTTTCTTTCCGCAAAAAATAACTTAATTTCTTTGACAAAATGTTCAACTAAAACTTGTTTATCCTCTTAATTCTGAACTATCCAGACTTTCTTTAAGATTATTTTTATCACTGATAAATCGGATAACTAATAAAATGAAAATTTAACTAAACTCATGTAAGATATAGACAGTACACTATAGGGCTTACCTGCTGTACTGCATACCCTCGACTGTTTCGTCACTAGTGAGCGGGATGAGTCCGAGCCTATGAGCCAGGAACTCATCACTTAGAACTGTACTGTTAGCTTCCAGTTGGATCCAGTCAATAGCTAAAGTTGGAGTCTCAGCTATCATCACCCGTCTAAAAATTTAAAATAAAGGGAGTGACCGCAATTTAAAAAGGAGGTTTAGAATGTGAATTATTTTTAAATATCCTGGTTTCTGAATTTCTGGTATCGTATGAAAAAAATAATTTTACCTACCTAAAAAATTTAACAATGAAATATTTATGTTAAAATTTTAAATGAGCATTGTGCAATGCCCATCCCTTTTCTTTAAAAAAGATTGTGGTTTTGAGATTTAAAAAAAAAACGCCAAACCCCAGCTGCTGACCCCCATCCTGAGTCACCTCATTGCATTAGCGACCGACAAGTCTGTATCCTCTAGTTGGAACTTACAGTTCTCAGTCGTCAGCTCAGTTATACTAAACACATGTATAATATAAATCAAAAATAATGATAATATTAGTAACAACAAGATCTGAAAGGGAATCCCAAAACCGCCCCCAGGATGATGCACATCTACACCTCACTTAATATTAATTAAATGAATATATCACAATATCACATCCCCCATTAACAAAACAACGAATCAAGACATTTAAATTTTTTAACAGATGAAAAAATTCAAAATTTGATTTTTTTCACTTAATTTCATGCGAAAACTTAATAAACCATTTAGAAATTTGGGTTTCAATTGATATTTTCGCCAAACCCGGCCCATTTTATAGCCAAGTACTCCCTTTTTATCACTTTTTACTTGCCCGAAAATTAATCACTTTCGAGACCATAACAGAAATATTATATCATGGGGAAAATAATTTTTGAAAAAGCATAGCGGGATGATTTCAAAAATATCTCTTCATCGCCGAACAAGTAGTTTACGATAAAAAAAAACACAATATCCAAATAAGAATTCCATCATCTTAATCCAAAGAATTTTAATTTTTTTTTAATTGCTGTACCAATTTGTTCTCTTAGTCCGGAATAAGGTACATTGTACAAACAAATTATGATCACGAATCTTGGAAGAACTGTAAATACTCTAATGAAGAGTTACATATCAGGTATATTCTTCCATTTTATTCTCTTAGTCCGGAATAATGTACATTGTACAAATTATGATCAGAAATCTTGGAAGATTTGTAGATTCCCTAATGAAGATTTACATATCAAGTATATCCTTCAAACCTTTATACTTATTATATTAATATTACTTAATATTGAAAATGGAGATATCCGTTCATCTGAAAATCTATAATTTTAAATAGCATATTCATTAATTGCTGAGGCAAGAAGGAAGATTGACAAATTTGTCACTATTCAGGATTAAAAAAGGTCTTTCTCAGAGTTTCTTAAAAAAGTACGCCGTGCATGTGTCTTTAACAATGAAAAATCACGGTTTCAAATTATTTTGAACTCGGATCATGGTTTAGATAGACAATGTGTTTAAATACAGCTATTTTGTTCCATTTACTTCTTTTACCTGACACTAGGTTGATTAGCATACGGCATTCTGTCTGAAATAATTCAATATTTTACAAATTAGGGAGAAATGATTTCTTCATTTTGATGATTTACAGAGAAATATTGAAATCAATAATTGCATAATGATTACTCAATTAATTATAGAATTTTCACAATTTTATAAAATTACATTTCTTTGCAACATATTGAGCATCTTGATTTTGCTCTTCTGCGTGCCAAGCTAGCGTGTAGTGTGTGGCACTGGCGTGTAGAGTGTCCAGGGATACCAAGGTATCGTGACGGTGAGGGTTAAGCCATCGTGTCCCGCCTTGAAGGTCCAGCGTGGATTTCCAATGATTTCGAACAATGAAAAGTTTGTGGATTACATAAAACTTTTATTTTTTGAACAACAGTGAAATCATTCTAAATTTTCAGATCCTCTTCAATCCTCGGGGTTCACTGGAATATTGTCGAAATTTCTTAATAATTTGAACAGAGAAAATGTTCTCCAAACGATTTTCAAATACTTCTTTATCCAAAATATTTAATTGTATGATCTGTGATAGAAAAAGAAAAATCCAATTAATTCCAAAAACTGAATTTGAATTTTTTTTCAATTCTTCTCAAAATCAGAAATAAAAAAGTATCGACAATATTCACCTTTTAGTAAATAAATGCTTTGAAGAAAGTGGAAAAGATAGAGATTACCTAAATACAAACAAGTGCGCATCAATAAATGCATCAAAATGCTAACTTTGGAGAGAAATGGCAAGTGAAGACTTGCCACCCCTCCCTCATCTCTCCACTTTTACTTTCTTCAAAGCATTTAATGAGTCCTGTTTCTCCCAAACACTGAAACTAAGGGTCCGGATTCCTCGGTGTGTCCGTAGGTTTCATTTCTCATGGTGCCCAGTCGACAATAAGACAATTAAAAGCCAATTTCTGATCAATCAAGCCAGGCCAATAAATAATCAGCTTTTTGAAACAAACAAAAAAACAATATAAAAGAAAACAAAAGGTTTGGTTAAAAAACTGGAATCAAAAAGCTGTTTTAAGACCCCCTCAATTTATCTGGCGGACCATCTGAACTGCTGGGGTGCGGAGGGTTTCAGTAAAATAGCCTGAAAAAAAAACAATGTCGGATATTAAAAAATTTCAAATTTTTTTCTAGACGCCATTTTTTTGCTAAAATTATATTCCAATAAATACTTCTAAAATGACTTTTTAATAGGCGCGAAAATAGAGAGTTTCTGTTCATGAAAGAGAAAATTCACTTTTATATCCCTTGAAACAATGTGTTTGAATTCAAAATTAATACAATATTTAACTAGAAAAATCTCCTCCTACTAACCTCAGCTGGGGAAGGATGCCTATAGAAACACTGGTTTCCTCGAATACACTTCGGATAGTAGATGCACAGTTCACCACTCTTACCCTGGAAAACATTGCAATAATTTTAACCATCGAGAGATTTTGAAATCGTCAAAACTACATCATTCGTCATCATTGATCAAGGTGATATAGACCTCTTAGAAAAGATACAGATAAGAAGGGTAGGGATGGTTTCTGGTCTGACAGGGAGGAACTATCAAGAAAAACTTAAGGAGCAAGGTCTGCAAACCCTTGAAACCAGACGGAGAAGATTTGATCTGATCCAAACATTTAAGATTCTCAAGGGATGATAGCAGTATATGGTTTGAAACTGTTGGGAATGAGGCTTCAAGACAAACAAGACAATCTGCTTATCATTTGAATCTAGTTAGGAGGAAAACAAGGACTGATGTAAGGAGCAACTTCTTCTCAAACAGGGTTATTGAACCCTGGAATAGATTGCCAACTGAATTGAAAGAAAGCAAGACTGTAAAATCATTCAAGGATGGATTGGACAACATCATTTAAACCAAAGATGAAATATAGGACCACACTGTAGCTCCTGTTATAATCCTACCTGGACTGGACAACATCATTTAAACCAAAGGTGATACATAGGACCACACTGTAGCTCCTGTTATAATCCTACCTGGACTGGACAACATCATTTAAACCAAAGGTGATACATAGGACCACACTGTAGCTCCTGTTATAATCCTACCTGGATTTCTAGGAGTCAACATAGAAGTAAGTATAGTAAGTCATACTGTATAAATATTACATCAAATTGTGAATTCAATCGGAATTTAAAAATATTCTTGAAAGTTGAAAATTAATAAAACACTGTCTAGTGTCTAGTCAGCTTTCGTACAATACAACACTAACTAAAAACAATATAAACAGACATTTCCACTTTAGAGTGAGGGGTGTTAGTTTCATAAGCTTTTCAGCTTGAGCAATTTCTATCATATAAATCATGTAAATATGTTATGTATGTAAAATTAAAGATCGTGGTAGATCCCCAACGTGGAATCCCCAGACCGCCATCGGAAGAATTAGACAAGCGACAATATTATTATACTATAATTAACTTCTAAGTTCAGACAGTAACTTCACATTTAGCCCTATCCAGTAATAACTAATTCATTTATACGGTGCAGAAGCGGCTCAACAAGATAAAATAAATAAACCATTTACTGGGCAATAACACACTAAGGGGTGGGGGGAGGGGGGTGGGCTCTGGTAAGATACACCAGTTTTACGTCTTGTAAGATGTACGTACAATGTACATACAGTGTATGCGTTCACGGTATAACGATCTACAATGTACATTGTACAAACAACTGACCTGCGATGAAGTGTATGGATTCACGAAGGAAACTGGTTTGAAAACTGGTTTCAGGGAAATAACTGAAGAAAAAAAAAATTAATGTATTTAAAAATTTTATTTACGTTTTTGATGTTTCTCATTAGTACTTCAAATCCAATTTTTTTCCTAAATATAAATCTTACTTTTCTTAGCTGGAAATTCCGCCGGTGGCGCAGTGATGGGAGTTCGCTTAGGTTTAGCTCCGGCATCCTAGACAAATATATTTTACTCAAGTTATCAAACCAGATCAAGGCATTCCATTGTCCGCTTAGCTTTAGGTCCGGCATCCGAGACAAATATATTTTACTCAAGTTATCAAATCAGATCAAGGCATTCCATTGCCCGCTTAGCTTTAGCTTCGGCTTCCTGGAGAAATATATTTTACTCGTTATCAAACCAGATCAAGGCATTCCATTGCCCGCTTAGCTTTAGGTCCGGCATCCTAGACAAATATATTTTACTCAAGTTATCAAATCAGATCAAGGCATTCCATTGCCCGCTTAGCTTTAGCTCCGGCTTCCTGGAGAAATATATTTTACTCAAGTTATGAAACCAGATCAAGGCATTCCATTGCCCAAGACCAAAAATAGTGAATGTTTTTATATCTGTACAAAACTAAATTGTTAGGTCTTCTTTGAATACCTAAAATAACTACAACTGAATCTAAAAATAAAGTTATATTTTATTTCTATAACATTTACCTTGGCATTAATAGTGATAGCAGTTTTCACAGGGTTGGCAACTGAAGGTTTAACCGCCAAAACTTTCTTGTAAACCGGTTTGACAGTGGCAGACGCTGGAGTTGAGGGTTTGGTGGCTGGTCCAGATACTGGTTTGCTGGTAGTAGATCCCTCCAGGGAAACCGGTTTTGTTAACAGTGTCGGTTTAGTGGTAACTGCAGTTGGAACTGAAGGTTTAATGACTTGTTTTGAGATTTTAGTTTGTTGCCGAGCCGAACCAATAGGAGATGCTTGAACAGGTTTTACGGCGGACGGTTGGGGGGCAACGACCTTAGGCGCCTCTTTTATAACAGATGCTGATTTAGGTTTCGGTTCAGGTTTAGATTCAGGTTTGGATTCTCTAATGCTCCCTGTAACAGGACCAACTGGCTTGGATTCTGTCTTTGGTTTAGCTTGCTTCAGTGGCTTGGATTTAGGTCTCTCAATTCCAGGAATCATTTTCACAGATGAAGTCTGAACAGAAATTTCTTCATTAGAAAAATAAGTTTTGCGCAGATTTTTATCGCTGAATTACAGGTTTTAGAGAAGATGAATGACATGTAGGAAATATACATGAATTTTCCGGAGAAAGGTTTCCAGAAACCGTCCTCTTAACAATATCTTTAAGAATTGGCCTTACAAAAATAAGAAAAACACAAGAAAAAAATATTAATCATGATACGTCTTACAGTTGTACTTAATTTAGAGGAACTAAAACAGACAGATAAAAAATGGCAGAATTATGTTCTACTTGATAGTTCACCTGACTGCCAGGTTTAATATTTTGCTTCAGCCCACCAGGACTTTGTCCAGGGGAATCAAATTGTTCTTCAGGATGCAGCTGTAGTTCATCATCAGGAGAGTGTCGGGATACAACAGGTTCACCCAGGATCGTCTTTTTTTCCTTACCACCCTGTTCCGCCTGGCAAGAATAAGTTATCCGGGCAATCCCAGCATTATTTTTTCTCGTTCACAAGTCATAATACAACGATTAAAATCCTTATTGTTTCCGTAACACGCCTATTTTTCCCACATATTTGGGTGCAACTTTTTTTGAAGAATGGAGACAATAAATACAACTGTATTTGTAGGAAATAAATGTTATTTCATGTTGCATTATTGATTAAAAATAAAAACGCAAAGCTTTACGTTGAAAGAAAACAACAGATTCATTATCTAGAAGACAGACCCTAACGGTATACTGACACTGTAAACATGCCCCCCAAATATATGCATTTCACATGTATTGTGTTTACCTTTTTTTGTTTATACTTAAAGTACTGCTCGTCTATACCGTCCATAGTAACAATAAAGGTCGGTTCTCCTTCTTCTTCAGATAAACTCACCTTTAAAAAATCACTCATTTATTACTAAAATTCAAAAACTTGAAATTGAAGATAAAAATAACTTTTTCTGATATTTATGACTGTACCTCTGAATCTGTATCACTAGATGAACTATCACTGTTACTGGTAGATTCATCATTAAGAGGAATAATTATCTTCCTTCCCTCCTCCCTACCACGCCGTCCAACCTCGTCCCTGGCTCTCAACTCAACCTCCTGCCTCGTTCTCCTGTCAACCTCCTCCTTTCCCCTCCTATCTCTCATTTCTTCAACATTCCTCTCTTCCGCCCTCTTCCTCATCAAGCTCTCCAGGGCCTTCTTCCTCATCTCCAGCAGCTCAGCGTCTTCTAACTCTAGCTTCCGAACCTAGATTTAAACATTTATAAAGAGGTTAAACAAAAATAACAGATTAGAAACTAAATCCAAAAAAAACAGTTTCTGACCTCTTTTTCTTCTTCAACCGACTTCCTAGCTTTCTTCGGAGGAGAAACCTCGTCAGCTTCTTCCACCTGAACAACCACACGCTCCACCACCTCATCCTCTTCCTCCTCCTTCTCCTCATCTACCTCCTCATCATCACGTCTTACTATAATTCTAATTTCATCATCATCCTCTTCTTCCAATTCAACAGTTTCAATCTTAGATTTTCTTTTCTTGTCTTCCTTCTTTCTCTTCAATTCCCTAAAATATGGATCAGGATTAGTGTTCACTCATTTCACAGCAATCATATCCCTGGCAATACTTCTACGCAGTGCTTATGATCCATTCAATATTGATGCGGATCCGGATCCTGGATCCACACTGGAAAAAAAAGAATCCGGGTTATTTCCATAAAATTTACTGAATTTTTTAACAAAGCAGAATTTCAATTTTTTTGTCTTATTTTTTTCGCTTATTTTTATGCTAAAACTTGATGAACCATTCAGAAATCAAGAAATTTTTATAATCTCTCTTGTTCAATAGTCCAGATTTGGGGTTTGAGAGTAAATTTTTGTTTGCAGTTTTTTGATGATATTTTGCGGATCTGGATCCAGGAAGCCAAAATCTTGCGGATCCAACGGATCCGAAACCTAAGCACTACTTCTAGGTATTATGTTTGTCTCGTGAAATGGAGGGACTTAAGCAAATAAAATATTTTTTTAAAATTAAAACTTTAGAGAGATGTCAACAAAGTGGAGGCCAGAAATAACTCAACACAGATCTACTAATGACTCAACACAGATCCACTAATGAAAAAAACGACCATTCACATGATTTAATTTAAAAAATTTACCCAAACCATGTTTTTAATATTTTTTAGTGAGCAAGTTTATCTACCTGTCTAGACTGCTGGCCCGTCCTAGCTTCTCCAGTTCACGATCCATAGCCAGCTGTCTTGAGCTGAGCAGGTCAACCTCTCTCTTCAACCTTCGAGTCTCGTCCTGAGTGATATGATTTTTAACAATTTCACATTGTTAAGTCGAAGAGAAAAATCAGGAACTGTCGTTTTATTTTTAGGTGATTAAACCTTAAGCTAATAAATTATGTGCTCTAGTTCATAAGTGTTTATTGTTTAATTCGGACAATTTCTACCATTGTTCCTAGTCTATAAATTTGCATTTATACAGACACCAAAATTGAAAAAAAAAACTATTTCTCAATCATAGGGGTCACTTTAAATTACGTGTACAGTCCCTTAGATTTAAAATATCTAAATAAAGTATTTTACCTTGGTTTTGTCTTTCTTTCTTTTATCTAAATTCTCCTTTAACCTATGTCCTTCTCCCTTCTTGTACTGTTCCTTTATCATCTGGAACCGTTCAATATCCTCAGGACTTAAACGAGGGAATCTTCGTGATCTATCATCCGGACTACGTCGTGCGCTTACATCACGTCGATCGTCTTCACGACTTCGCCTACATTCATTAGAAAAATCAACTCATTGTATAAACTGATATTAAATACAAAGAAATGATAAATTACATGATATTACCTCTTTAACACTGGAGATCTACTGGAGATAGGGGACCGGACTTTCCTTGAACAAAATTGCAATAGTTATTTTTTACTTTTGATTCAATTTTCGTTCTTTGTTCATTCTTAAAAATGTCTTGTTTATGCTGAAACGAAATCAGAGAAAATAAAAAAACATGCGTACAATTTTAGCTAAACACTTCAACTACCTCCGGAAAAAATATTTTTATTCTTTTTGGATACTTAACTCTTATCCACTAAAAATAAACTATTATATTATAAATATATTAAATTTACTGTTTCAAAGTACAACATAAGGAAATAGGGCGGGAACATTTAAGTTAATATTTTTATGTTTACACTTCTGGGTTTATAGATTATAGTTTTTTTTTCCAGGTTTAATAGGCAAAACCTAGCAGGATGTGGCAAAATTTATAATTAAGAAATTTAAAAATAAAAGTTCATGTATAATAAAACTCGATAAAAGACAAAATTAGGGTCAAAATACATCTTAAATAAATTATTGCTATATAAATATAAATATTTAATTAAAATTTCCCCTTCAATATTTGTTAAGGGTTAGACCAGGTACTCTAAGTCTCCTTAGTTATAAATATTTGTGGAAGAGAACACCATCTTTAAAAAATAAAATGAAACTACTAAGACTTCTAATATTAACAGGTTATTATTTATACACATACATAGGGGGGGGGGGGGGCAATTTCTTTAAAAAAAAACTTTATTTTAGGTGTTGTCCCCGTCAGTCAAGATGCCACTGGTGTATTGAAGTTTAAAGTTTTTTCCTGGAAAACATTTCTATCCTATGCTTCATGGGTCGGAATTCAGTTAGTTTGTATAGGAATCTTTCATTATAGAGAAGGAGATTATCTGAGCCTATTGAAACACGAGAACTCAGTAACCTGGGTATTTACCCGTGCTATCACCATAATTAACACATATCTTATACCAATCGTAATCCCTGGTTTGCTAGCATTTATTCTAGAGAATTCGAACACGAACCTAGACGCAAACAAGTTCACAAAATTAAAGATGCTAGTAACCCTAACAATATCACGATGCGTAACCCTAGTTATAACGATATATTTAGTTGAAAATGGTGATATATACTCTCAAATGTTAGTAGGAGTTTTCTTTATTATATACTGTACTATTCTTAACTTTTCTTTAATTGTGATCAATCTTATCTGTAACTCGTTCATTGAAGAAGTGGAAGAAGCTAGAAACATTCTTCAGATTGATGGACTGACAGAAAAATATATTGATCTTGTGAACAAGTACAGGGGGATGAAGAGGGGATATAGTCCATTTCTTCTTATTTTTATGTCGTTTTGCACTGTTTATGTTTTATTCTTTTCCTTCTTGCTAACAGATCATTTAGCAAAGAAAAACTATTTGTCATCAATCAACATATTTTCTGGCGTGTTCTATTACTTATTCCTGATGTTCTACATTATTGGCTTTTGTGACGAAACCTTTGAAGCACTGTCAGCAAATAACAATATTTTAAGGTATGTTTATCTAAACTTTAAAACTATGTTTTATTTGTTTATATAATCTCCAAATGCAGACAACTAGCTATGGATTGTGATGAAAAAAGAAGACATCGGATACTCTTAGGTAATGACATGTTTTGTACCTGTAAAACATTGAAAAATTATAAAAATGTCAGACATTTTATTTTTTTAGTTTTGGAAATGATAAAGGAGGAAGAACCTTTTACAGCGCTAGGTTATTTCCCCGTAGAAAAACCAACTTTTATCACAATTGTCAGTTCTCTTGTAGCGTACCTCATAGTCATGATACAGTTCAAATAGTCATGTAAACTTTTAAACTATAATTATGTCTAATTTTTTTGGTACATATTTGTACATTTTTTTTTCTTGCACCACATAAGAGATTTAATTTCTATTTGTATTTTTTTCTCAATAAAAGTTTGAAAGAGAAAAATAATTATTTCTACTTTGACTTGAGTATGAGTACTGGAGTAGCCACTTCCTATTGATTTTTAAGGGTGAGGTGAGAAGGGGCCTAAAAATGAAAATCCTGGGTGAGGTGGGAAGGGGCCTAAAAATAAAACTCCTGGGTGAGGTGGGAAGGGGCCTAAAAATAAAAATACCGGGTGAGGTGGGAAGGGGCCTAAAAATGAAACTCCTGTTTATGCTGTGAATAAAAAAGTTTTCAATTACGATTTCTGGTTCGCAATTCTGATTTTATATCAGGCAGAATAAACGTACCGATCATCTTTATTCTTTTGTTTTAAATGCTGTGTTGTAATAAATACTTCCCAGGAACATATTTGACCTTTTTCCTTTTACCCGTACAGTGTACGTACACTATTACCTCAAGTTGACTAACAACGAAACAAATACTTTAAAACCATAAATCGTATTTTTTAGAAATTTTTCAATATTTTTGAAATACACTATTGAAATTATAAAATATAAAAATTTGTGAGATTCTTAATTGTTATTTTGAGAGAGGAAAATGTTTACAGACAATAAAAAGTTAATAAATAGCACGAGTAATGTGACGAGTCCTGAAATACCTGGCTTGGTTAATAATGATATTTTCCTCAGTTTGAAAATTTAATTTGGAAAATATTCCATTTAATAATTGCTCAGACTGATTAAAATAACTAAAGGAAATAGAACTAACCTCTCAAAAACTGAGAGGTCTTTACGAATTTAAAAGAACGGTAAAAATCCTGAATATATTCAAGAAATTCTGGTTTTGAGGAGGGTGGGAGGGAATTCCAAGTTAACATATCCGTATCCTCTAGGGCTAGCTCTAGAGTATCTACCTGTACGCTGCAGGTGGAGAGACGTGTCGTCTTGATTTCAGGATACTACGGTCAGCGTCAATCATACTCCTAATTTCATAAAATTTTATTTAAAGGAATTCGGAGGAAATAATTTCCTTTCCACACTCTTGTGTTTCAAGTTGATTGCAAGTGCGCAGTTACTAGGCCGACTATACGACATATTTAATGATATCAAAAAGTGTACAGTTAAAATTAGTCTAAAAATGATCCTTAATAATTGTTGATTGTCATCATTTATTGTTAATTATTATGTTATTTTGAAGAAAGAGCAAACCATTGCCAAAAACTAAGTTTTAAAATATGGTTTTAAATCATGAACGTTTTTTGGGACACATTTTTCTTCACATAAAAAAGATAGCAATCTTAGTGGTATATTATTTGCATGAAACTCAAAACGCCATCAAAATATACTTTTTCTCGATATTCGAAAACAAAATTAAGTGAACATGAAGACATTTGGGATTCGAATCTGTTATTTTCCGGAAACGTATCCGGGATTTGCACGAAAAGGATAATAATCCTCTAAACATACCTTGAAAGAACTCTAGCAACTCCTTTGTCATCCCTCCCGGTCGGTCTGGAGGGCCGGGGAGGTAAAATAGCTTTTGAGGCAACAGATCTGAGAAATTCAAGAAATTAAGTTCACATATTTTTTTAAGCGAATTTCACTATTTAATAAAACTTTAAAAATAAAACATATAATTTTGTCTTTACTATTTAAATACATAGACATAAGACATTTATGTAATGATACAACCAACCTTTTATTCCTGTATTCCTCATAACTAGGAGATCTGGACCTTGATCTTCTTTTCCTCACAACTTGTACCTTTATTAAGACGATTTTCTAAGTTTTTATATTTTTCTAAACCTCTACTGTAAATACAGGGTTACCCACAACGAATGAGACCGTAAAGTGTAACGGCGGCTTGAAACACTTGATATAATTCGATCTCAAGATTAAATTCAGTCTTTTCCCTTGAATATAGTCTTTTATTGGCGTCCTTAATGATTTGACAAATAAAAAAGTTTATAGTTGCAGACAATCATGAATATCAGGAAACAGAGCTGAAAACTATAGAATGGTGGATATCAAGATCAAAGCTTGATCCTCTCTTTTCGCTAATCTCCAGACTAATTTAGTTTTTAGATTAGAGATGCGCTCTTTGACTTTTGAAAAACCGGTTTTTATTTTTCCCGCATTTGTGGTGTCAAATCAATTGGACTAATGATCGATTGAACGAACGTAAGTTTTAGATTAATGTGTATTAAGACTAACGATTGGCTTGTGAACAGCTGACTTAAGTTCAATCGGATATTAGTCCTATTAATATAGCATCGTATCTGTATTTGTAATTAAATGTATCCTTATTACATGTAGTAGGGAATGTGATATCCCACGAGAGCGGATTAAAAATTAAAGGTTTCCACAGTGGATATTCAGATTAAGTGATCAGAGCTGAAAACTTTAGAATGAAATATCTAGATATCCCGTCGGATAATTAATCTGAAGATTAAAGTCATGAGGTAAACAAGCAATATTTAATTCCGAGATTAAGAAAAAGAGTGGATTAAGCCTTAATCCTGATATCCACCATTCTAAAGTTTTCAGCTCAGGATTAATTGTATCGAATTCTAAAATTTTCAGCTCAGTAGTATAAATTCCTTACAGTCGTCTCTGAAATCTCATCCTTAGTGGATAACCCTGTATTTTCAGTATGCATATGTAGACCGAATCTTCTTTTGTAACCGTCATGCTTGATTTCAAAATCAATTTTTTTTGTATAAAGAAGACATTTCGAAAAATGCTTCAATGATTTTGAATCCTCCCCCCCTTCCCCCTTCCACCATTAAAATATATTATCCGAATGAATTTGCTTTTACCAGACTTGCTACTCCTCGTCTTTCAATACTATAGCTCCGGCTACGGGCTCTAAAACAAAAAATAGTAACATTTTTTCAATCAAAATTGACACATTTTGGAAAATTCTTGAAAAAAAATTTACCTGGTCTTTGAGTCTCCCTTAGTTTTATTTGGTTTAAACAATTCCTGATCTTCCTTCAAGCTCGTAATCTTCTTCCTCTTCACCTTCTTAGTAGGTGTTCCACTCTTTACAGGGTTTACCTACAGATCATTTTTACAAACAGGGATATAAGTTAGTTAGCAGGGATATTATCTCCCGTCCAATCTTCAACAAATTATGTATTTCATTTTAGAATCTTTCAATTATACGACCTTGAGTGATTTGACGGAGGATTTTACAGCTTTCTTAAGAATAGCTTCAGCATCATATTCTTCCTTCTCCACACCACTGAACAGATCTTGGATTATTTCCTCTAATTTATAATCAACATAATTAAGAATCCGAATTTTCTAGTCCACCAAAAACCGTTAAATTTCATTCAATATTTTAATATTTCATAGAGAAAAGTTTGTTTCAGAATTGTAAATCAAATAAATAGAAAAATAGCAGTTCTCCAAGACCAATATTTGTCTCTTATGTCTTCTAAAGTCGAATTCACCACATAAATAAAAGCCAAAAAAGTCGGTGTTTCGGGTTGTCAGAACATCTAAGAAAAGAATAATTTTGAACCAGAGGGCAAATGCTTCAGAGTGCATAAAAGTAACATCAATTGTTACTGAATAACCCTCAAACCCGATTTGACTTACCCCTCCGAACTCTCTGGCTTAGATTTCTTTGCTCCTAGTTCGACAGTGTTTGCATTTTTATCCTCCTTTCCTACAACCTTCTTTATCTTCTTATCCTTCTCCTTGGACACTTTAATCTTCTTCTTCTTCTCTTTATCCTTCTCCTTCTTCTTAGGCTCTTTCTTCTTTTTCTTTTTCCTTCCTGATGTATCCTTTTTGGCAACCTCGTCAAGTGTCACTTTCCTAAAGAAGAAAAATCTTATTCTCTCGTAATATATTTACAATCAGTTTAGTAACAATAAGTTATGTATGTAATATGTATATCTTTGTGTATAAATAAGTCTTTATAAAATAAATAAAAAATCAAAAGAGTCCTAATTTCAGTGTATTAATTAATCTTTAAAGGGAGTGTTCGCGAAAAATGAAAGGGGGTATAGGCTTAATGCGATAAAAAATCGCTTTTGATCGCTACTAATCTAACTTCTATCTTTAGCGTCTATAAGGGTAAAATTGTTAAAAACGACTTACGCCGAAGAACGTAGTGTCCATACAAATTCAGAAAGATGCAACATTCAACTCGGATCGTAAACAAATCAATTAAATTCCAAACAAAGCATTCAGATATTACAAACAATAGTCATCGATTATTTTTCGACGCATTCGTAAATAGTTGATTTTTCATAATATTTTGTATTTTTCATGATCTGAGAGTTACTTTTGAAAACATTTATTCCTGTTTCGATGATTTTTGATAATGAAGACGACATGTTCATATTTTCCAGAAATGTTCAAAAATCAAGCGCCAGCGAAAATTATTTTCAAAAAAAATCAAAAAAATTACGAATTATTAACTATGTACGAATGCGTCGAAAAATAATCGATGACTATTGTTTGTAATATCTGAATGATTTGTTTGGAATTAAATTGCTTTGTTTACGATCCGAGTAGAATGTTGCATCTTTCTGAATTTGTACTGACACTACGTTCTTCGGTATTAGTCGTTTATAACAATTTTCTCCTTATAGACGCAACAGATAGAAGTAAGATTAGTAGCGATCAAAAGCGCTTTCCCCTTTCCCCTTTCATTTTTCGCGAACACTCCCTTTAAACAAAAAAGTACCATAACTGATAACAAAAGACTGCAGAAGTAATTATGACAAATCTCGGTCGGTTTTTGCATTCAGAAACAGTGGAAGCGAAGGGGAATTTCATTTTTGACTCGGTTAAAGGATGGAAGTATGGTGAGCTCCTAAACCCCATGGGAATTTACCTCAGTTTGTCTAGAACATTGTGGAGCCAGGTTGTGAATGCGATTGTGTTCTCGTTCAAGAAGAGTCCTAGATCCTCTTCCATCTGGACCTAGTTAATAAAAATATTCATGACTAGGCTAGCTTTATCATCAAGTAAACCATCTAGTCAACGTTATTTTTTTTTATCTATTTTGCATTACATAATTGTAATGCTTCAAGATTCAGTCTGCTGCAGTGTACAAGTTTAATGAACTCTATTATGCAGTGCAAGAAAATCTAAGATGAATACAAAATCTTATTAATGATTTTTGTATGCCTACCAAGGGACAATGCTGTATTATCCATTTGCAGTACTAGATAAGGAAGTTAAAGTAGTCACCCAAATACAAAATGTGGAAATACAAAATAATTAAGGACTAAAAATTGTGGAAATGGATTATCTACCAACATCGAAAAAAATCACTTTGGTTTAATACCTTTGTTCTATCGTTGGCCACCATAACCATGATATAATCAGGGAGTTCATCATCAACATACGCATCAAGCTCTATTAGTTTAGCTTTGATAGCTGATCTAATCTTATTAGAGACTTCTGTACCCAGGTTATCCATCTTACTTCTAAAATTGTAATTGTGCAAAACATTTTATTAGTTTATAAGTTAACTCTAGAATATTTTTGGAGAACGTTTTATAGAACCTCATTGTAAAAATTGGGCAATGTTTAATGAGTTAGTGTACAAACTTGATAGATAGGGGTCCAAAAAGCGGTTATTTCCTATTAAAGGATTTTTGGACTCCCCTTTCAACAAAAATGTAAATGTGCATGCTTAATTTAGGGTTAAGTTAGTTAAGACACTTTCTGGGCCGAGCGCTGCGGCTAGGACAGGCTAGGGGGCCGAGCGCTGCGGCCACATGGTCAATTATATCAATGTCTAATATATAAGATACATGTACAAAATTGATAAGAGGGTTGCGAGTTTCCTATGATTCAAATCAAAAAATATTCTTAGCATTTTGACCTTTTGTCGTTTGACCCTTTGTCGCACTTTTGATCCTTTGTCGGTGAATCGTAATTTCAAGTGACTCTATACAAAGATGAAANGGGGGGGGGGGGGGTCGTTCTATAGGAAATTACCAAAGCGTTCTTCAGGACAGACGAATCCGACTCAAGCAACTCAAGTTTAATTCGTCTGAATCTGAGTCAAATGCAAAATAATAATCACAGATTTCGGTCTTGCAGCACGGTTTAGTTTGTAATAAAATAAATTCCCCAAAAACAATATTAAAGATTTTAAACCCCGAACATAATCGAGCTGTAACTTGCCTTGACTCTAACTATGAATATGATTTGAGATCTGTTGCTGCAAGGTTAGATCTCAGATCATAGTAAAAGCTCATGGGTCTGTCCTAGTATACGATTTTTCCAAAAATCGTATACTAGGAAATTACCAAGCTCATTCATAAGTCAAAATTTTGAGGTTGTATTTAGCAGGTGCGATTTCTATCAGTTGATTTTTAGCTATAATTTAGCTCCGACTTCAGATCAAACTTAAGCTTCGATCTTGCTCTGATTTTGGACTAACGAATAATAATAGCTAAGCTAAGAAGTCGCAGCTAAATCATAGCTAGAACCGGACGAACAAATCGGACCAGTGACCTTTACTATAGAATTTCGTAACTTTTTCACAGAGAAGGATTGTGGAAAGTTGAAACTGTTCAATACCGCGTAATTTCTTTAAAAATGTCGTCTTAACAAAAATAAAAAAGGTGTCGTATCAAGAGACCATCATTTAATTGAACTATTGGTGATGTTACATTGTCTAAACGCAACATCTCCCCTGCTGAACTTCTGACCTACTAACTTCCGTCCTACTACAATATCTGACCTACAACGCCAGCTGTTTATTTTTGTATTATTTGAAGGTTAGGCCGCGCGGGTTAGGACAATTTTTGGGTCGAGCGCCGCGGTGACAGGCTAGGTTTCCACTGGCCAGGTGCTGCGGCCATAAGTCCATGTATATCAGCTTCAAAACCACGTGCTAGTAGGTCGGATGTGTATGAGTCTAGCTGGATTGGATTATTACTTAGAACAGAAGTGCAGGTATAGCGGACTTGCGTAGGTCGAAAGATACACCATCTGAACATTTGCCTGAACATGGCCTGAACCGATCAATTTTTAAGTATTTTACCAAAAACCATTTTTACATATCGAGGGGGGGCTAGCTGCACACCGAGGGAGGGAAGGCAACCTCTCCCAACAGCTTCCGAGCCTCATTTTACCTACAGGGTGTCCCACATCATATTAGATTGTCAAGGGGACTAAATTACGATTTTCGGGACTAATCAGAAAATTTAAGAAGTTTGACTCATTTTGAAAAATTGAATAATTGGTTAATGTAAAAGTTTTCTTCTAAAGAATGCTAGGGTTTTCTAGTATTATGTGTCTATTTTGGCGTTATGGCTTGGAGATAATCTAGAATATGAAATGGGACGCTCTGTATTTGCGGCAGTGTGCGTTCCAAGGGGGCTTCCAAACCTCCCCCAAACAGTCTTCCGAGAATATATGATCTTCCATTCGTCAATTTCTAATTAAAACGGGACTATATAATTCAATTATGCACGGTAGTCCATCTAGTATATCCTTAAGTTATTTACATTTGCATAATATTTTTTTTTTCTTTTTTACAAGCAAAGATCAGGGGGAATTAATAGATTTTATTAAAATTTTTTTTTAATAAATCTTGGAATTGCTGGGCGTAATTGTTTAGCTTTTACTATCAAAAAGTAAACAAACAAATATTGTTCATAAAAATAGCATTAAAGTTTGTACATTTCTTTCTAGTTATTGAGATACAGGGTGTCCCACGAAACATGACAATAGCAAGACGACTTGAAAGTCGTCTTTGATATTTGAATTTATTTGTGACATTTAGTCTTCTATCTACTTTAACATGTATGATTCTTGAAACAATTATCACATAATTCTCCTAGCCCTGGCATTTCCAAAAAGTGGTCTGCGTTTTTTGTGCTTTCAATATTACCGGAGATATAAAGAATTTGGTTCAGATTTCAATTTTGTTAAATAAAAGCAAAATTGTCGAAATCTAAACGAAATTGTTCATATCTCGGGCAATATTGAAAGCACGAAAAATGCAGACCACATTTTGGAAATGGCAGGACTAGGGGAATTTTGTGATTATTATCTCTAGAAATTTACTTCTAAAATTAGGTTGACAAATAAACGCAGCAAATTATATCAAAAATCAAGACGACATTCAAGGCCTCTTGCATACTGTCATGTTTCGTGGGACACCCTGTATTTAAAGAAAACAAAACTCGCTTTTAACCATAATAATTTTAAAAACAGGGGCCTTTATTTTTACAAATGCTATTTAAAATACTTAGATCTTTATAATCTGAGCGTTGCTGAAATTGCCTTTTAATTATGGTCATGGGAGCTAGAATGTTTACTTGTATTATACCAAAAAAAATATAATAAATATACTCATAATAGATGCCATGACTTCTTTAGAATCTTAAGTTAACGCTGCATTCCTCTTTAATAAGCTAGGAATTTTCAAATTGGGGGGGGGGGGGCACAAATGTAAGAAATTCTATATATTGGGAATTTAAAAAAAATATTTTACCTGAAAAACTCTAAAAGGGTTAAATTCAATAAATAAGGACTAAAAAACTAGATTTTTAACTTGCCATCACATTATAGTTTATTAATATAGATTTGTATGATTTGCATTATGTTTTCTTTCCCTATATAGTGCTGCTATGAAGAAACATATTTGCATCATAATAAAAAACTGGTTTACGTTGTATAGATTTGAGTTAAACTATAAACAAATGTATTACTGAACATTTTTGAATCACGAACATCTAATACAATCAATACAGCTGCAAAGTAAAAGATGTAAATACCCGTAAGGATTTAAGCATGAAAATCTCAAGTTTTCCCAAAACTAAAATTCGAAAAAAAAACTATAACTACAAACTACTTCTCCTAAACCTTGTCATATTTAAATAATTTAAATTTGACTCCATGTTTTTTTTTCTGCAGTACGATGGTTTATTAAAATCAATAATCTAATGAAAGAAGGTAAAAGTATTGCTTCTCAAAATACAAAAAAAAAATTGACAAGACAGGATAAAAATGAACTTCCCAAATAATTTATTTCAGCGAGCACTCAACTTTTCTTTAATTTGAAGAACAAATAATACTTTAGATTGGTAACAAAAATTACATTTTATTAACATTTTCTCCCCTTTTTCTTCTTTTTTTCATTTTTCGTTTCTATTTTTCTCATTATTTGTCTCAGATTCGATTCGAGGTTAAAAGGGGGTGGGGGTACGTGCCCCTTGTCCCCCCTAGATACGGAACTGATCAAATATATAACTATTATTGGGACTGAATTTGTGCAAGGGATGCATCGAATCCAATATAATAAGATAAAAATCAAAGCTTTAAAAACACTAAGTTTCTGTATTTTCAACTTCAAACTTCTAAAACGACATTGTAAATGACATTATTTGTGTTTGGGCCCAGAGCTCGGCCCCCTCCTTTCTCTTGAGCTGCTCCCGCGGCCTCATTGCACATGCAGTTGCCGGTTGGTGAATACTTTTTAGTGTTATAGGTATAATCCTTTCTTAAATTTTATATTTCAGAATAGGACGTATGTTTTGCACATCTAAAACAAACTTATATCTAGACTCCAGAGTTGTAATTTAAATTTTGAATTGGAATTTCAGATTGGAATTTTGATCTGGAAACGGGAAATAGAAGATTGGAATTCTTGTGTTAAACTTAAACTTTCTTTCTATCTTACAACCATCCCAATACTCAAGATTCTTTATCTTTACCTCTCAACTCAACAACACCTTCTTCTTCCATCCATTCTCTCCCAACCCCCCTTCTCCTTCTATTCTCTTAAAACCATTCTTCTCTTTTCCATGCTGTCCAAACAACCCTCCTTCTCCTTCCAGTCTCTCACAACACTCCTTCAATAATTTCACAACCTTCCTTCTTCCAGTCTCCCACAACACTCCTTCAATTCTTTCACAACTTCCTTCTTCCAGTCTCTCACAACACTCCTTCAATAATTTCACAACCTTCCTTCTTCCAGTCTCCCACAACACTCCTTCAATTCTTTCACAACCCTCCTTCTCTTTCCAGTCTCCCACAACACTCCTTCAATTCTTTCACAACCCTCCTTCTCTTTCATGTCTCCCACAACACTCCTTCAATTCTTTCACAACCCTCTTTCTCTTTCATGTCTCCCACAACACTCTTTCAATTCGTTCACAACTCCACTTCTTCCAATCTCTCACATCACTCAGCTTCAATTCGTTCACAGCTCCACTTCTTCCAGTCTCCCACAACACTCATTCTCCTGAATTCTCTCCCTACAAGCATCCTTCTCCTTTCTTCTTCATTCTCTCATTTGCTCCCAACCATCCTTTTCCTTTCTTTTTCTACCGACCATTCTTCCCCTTTTATTTTCTTCCAACCATCCTTCCACTTCTATTCTCCTCCCAACCATGTCCTTACCCTTCCAATTTCTCCCAACACTCTTCTTCTTATCTTATATCCCCATGACACCTTCCTCTTTTCATTTGACAACCTTTCTCCTTCCA